GGGTTAGCCTGGTGATGGGTATTAAAGAGAGCACATTCTGCGTGGAGCACTGGGTGTTATACGCAAACAGTGAATCATGGAACACTACATCAAAAACTAATGATGTAATGTATGGTGATTACCATACCATAATAAAAAAATAATAAATAAATAAAAAGAAGAAGAAAGTAACTTTGAAATAGGGAAACATCCCAAACACAATTTCACAATTTAGCTTCTATTTCACAATTCTATTTCATAACTTAGCAGAGGACCAACCTTTTGGATGGAGGTATAACTTCTCCTGAAGGTACAGTCTTGATAGCAACTGAAACACAGGTTATCATTTTGAATCTCTGAACATGACTTAGGCATAGTTTCATTCAGATTTTTCTGGGTCTTCTCATAACCTGGCCATTATTATTCAGTGAAGAAATTAATCCTCCCTCTAGGTAGGGGCAGAGATGTATATAGAGAAAGCTCTCAGGACACCAGGGTCTCTGGCTAATAGATTCTCTAACTAATAGATTCTGGAAAGAGCCATGGAATGTGGAGACCCAAGTCAGCTCTGGTTCTGTCATATTGTGATGATGTATCTTTGAGCAGAGGGGGGGCACGGGGATAAAGACTGGTAGATTGCAAAAGGTCAAACAGGGGGATATCAGAGGTGGAAGTAAGAAGCTATCTATGAACATAAGGAAAAAGGAAAGGATTCATAGAGAGGACAGTTACTGAGGTTGGGATCTATGTGGAGCTCATGAAGAGTGTGACGACGCAGGTGTGTGTGGCTGTGGAGCACAAATGAAGGTCGCACAAGGAGCCGAGACATCAGCACACAGACAGTCACTAGCATGGATGTTGAAGTCATGTTGGTGAGGCAATTCATGAGCTAAGGTCCTGGAAGAGGACCCCACAGGGTGGGGGGAGGCAATATGGAACTGAAAAGAGAAACATAATTTATGTGATAGTATATTTCTCTTATGAGGAAAGTCAGAGTGATGGTGTTAAAGTAGAAGTAATCTTTATTCCTACCATTGAGTAGGATAAAGAAAGCAAGAGAACAGTCTTTTTGAAGTACAAAAGGGAGAAAGTGAAGAGATGTTTATTCATAAAAGACAAGAGTTTCCACAGACCCAGGAAAAAGGGAATGGAGGAGAGAAAGAGAGAGGTCTGATGCTAGCTGAACAGAGGTGAAAATTCAAGGACAGGCAGCAAGAGGGGAGGTTTCATGAAGAGAGGAAAGCATGCGTATAAGGATAAAAAATAACTTTGACGTGTGTGACATGGTGAAAAGAGTATGAGGGGAATATGTATCCAGACTGCACTAAGCACCTTATTCATCCCTGACACTAACACTGTGAGCTGAGTGTTGTTACCCTCATTCTTTGACAGACAAAAAAAGTAAGTCTGTTTGCTTCAGGTCACATTGCTAGTCAGTAGATCTGTTAAGATACAGTTGAAGCTACTGTGACAAATGTACGCCAAAATATTGTAGTTCCCACAAGGTGGACACATAGCCTTCCTCTCATTGCTTCTTCACATGTGGTTTCCATATCCTAGTACAAAACGGCACCTCCTGCTTTCATTGTGATGCCTGTATTTTAGCCGTGAAGAGAAAAAGAAATGAAAGGTAATGGCACATTCCTTTTCTCTTTAGAGTGTTGCCCACGTAACTTCTACTAACGTCTCATTGGCCAAACTTAGGCATGTGGTCATAGCTATCCATAAAGGAAGCTGGGAAATGTACTATTTGGGGGGACAGCCATGTGCCTAACCGAAAGATCTGCACTATCTAAAAAGCAGATAGTGAAATTTTGAGAAACTCAGTTTCTGCCACGAAAAGGAAGCTGGGATTTGAGAACTGGACACGAAGAATAAAGAAATGGGTTGGAACACTCCCCAAGCCTCAGTTTCCTCATTTGTAAAATGTGCTGATAACACTTGTGCTTAATTACTGTAATATGCCCTTGATTTTTAGGAATCAGTGTACCCCCCTGCTGCTTGCTGCCACCTCAGGAGCACTGGACACTATTCAGTACCTATTTTCTCTTGGTGCTAACTGGAGAAAAACAGATATTAAAGGAAATAATATAATTCACTTATCAGTGCTAACCTTTCACACAGAGGTTCTCAAGCATATAATAGAGTTAAATATTCCTGAACTCCCCGTTTGGAAAACTTTAGTAGGTGAGTATACAACACATAATCTCTTTATAAATAAATGTTCTGATTATTATTCAGCTTAATCATTGATGCTTACTCTGAAATAGAGCAAATAAAATAATACATGCATATTTTAAACAGTTAAAGATCATAAAATAAACATTTTTTAGTTAAAACCAGAAATACAAATAATACTGAACTACATTTTGTGTGTACAAAAGTAGTTTTATTTCCAAATTAAAATCAAAGAATAATAACCCAGACTATATTTTATACAATTATATTTTTATTTTCCAACTTTCTCCAAAAGCCCATCTATCGTCTTCTCCATCAAAAAAGCAAATCAAAAACAAACAAAAATAAACACAGAAAGAGGAAGGAAATTAAAGTTGAAGTGACAAAGATTCCCTCCAATTTATTCCTTTCCAATTTAAAAGACAGATTCAGCAACATTTTTCCTCATATGTTGATAAATGTTTTGTGAAAAATTTTGCTGGAGATTTTTTTCCAAATTTGGGTTCAGTCTAGCCGGAAATATTATAAGGGTGAGGGCTACTAGGACAATTAATTGAATGCACACATCTAAGTTTACTCTCTCCCAAGACCCCACCAAAATTACATGGAGCTTAAAGAAGAACATCAGCAACAGCAGGAGACAAACATTCAGGAGAAAACAGGAAAGGATACCATAGCAACAAAATACTGGAAGCAGGCAAGTCTAGGACTTAGCAGGCTGGAGAAGTCATTCCAAGCCAACAGTGGGGAAGCTGAGGACTTCTCAGACTTCGACCATGAATCCTTTTAGGAGGCTCTAGGACCCAAAGTGCCAGTCAGGAATGCTCTCTGCTGAGGCTAGCCAGAAAAGACCTAGAGAGACTTAGGCAGGAATTCTCAACAAACAGGAAATTGGGAGTCTGACCCAAGAGAAAAGCAAAGGGGATTTCAAAGATGACAGCAAAGGGAAGTCCTAGAATGGAAACTGTACCCAGGCCAAAGGGAAAATGTGGGAGGCATTCCCAGTAGGTACAACGAACACTGAGCAGATGAAATAATTTTACCTCCAGGAAAAACAAAAGTAAGAAAGGAGACAAAACTGTGGTACACTACAATGCTTACCTGTGAATAATATCTGTATAGGCATTATAATGTAAGTATGGAATATTAATTTAACTGAATACTATAAACATGGGGAAGGGGAGAGAGGAAATGGCAGCACAGTGTTGAAAGAGCTAGCTTCTCCTTTACCATAACATGAAGTCAATCGATGATGTCTCAAATCAATATAGCGAAAGTGGGTGTAAGTATTTAGAAATATAGAGATATGGAAATCACAGAAGGTATAGGGAGAGAGTCCAAAGTGGTTATATCTGGAGAAATGAACTCAGAAAAGTGGAGAGGGTGAGGCAAGGAACCACTATTATTTTTTTATAGGCCTTTTAGTAACATTTAACTCTGAATCATGAGCATGCATTACATTACTAAAATAAAACTAAAGCAAAAATGAAACCAATTGGGGAATGAAAACTGATGGCTTTCCCAACAACTCATTTTAGGATGGGATAAGATATATTTAAGATTTTCAACTCCATTCTCCTGTCTCAAGAAGTCTGAGTAATTTGTTTCAAAAGTGGCTCAATACCTGATTTTGGAATTTACTGGGTACTGGGAACACATTCTAATTGTATCAGCCCCAAGAGATACTAGAGAGTGTTTCCAATGTTTATTTGCATGCATATATATCATTATATCCCAGCCTTTTTAGGAGGAACTCAGAAGACCATCCTGTTACTTTTAAGAGAATAACACATTTGAAATACCTCAATAGTTGGAAGAACCAGCCCCTGACAGGAATAGCCTAATGGCACAAAAAAATTCCCGACAGCCACTCCTTCCTGCAGCCATTGTTGGGAAGTGCTGATAATGACTTGAACACAATAACCAGTGAGCATCTAGCCATTGCTTCTTTGAGCCCTGGAATAGCTCTCCTTCCTCACAGTGCCCATTTCCACTATGAAGAAAGGAAGCATTAGTCAAAGTTTGTTAGACGCCTCCAGTTTTGGCTCTTGGAGTAGTAGCTGAATTTTAAAAGAGAGCTCCATGGAGGAATCGAGCCAAGGTAGGATTAGGACCAGATTTGCTATGACAAGGGGTTGGGTAAGACAAGGGGTTGGGTAAAGAGAGACCAGGAAAGGATACTTCTATGTGTTTTTTTTTCTTGTACCATAGACATTGTTTAGAAGCATATATATTTATTTGCATTATCTCCTGTCTGGAGTATAAGTTCATTTAAGATTTTTTGAAGTGTCTTCTTCATCCTCAGGAAATGTATGAAGATCCATATATGATTTAATGGATATTAAATTTTTATTGACAATAATGTAGTTTACTTTGCCATCCGTAAAACTCACACTCAATTTTTTTTCTAAAGATTTATTTATTTTAGAGCGCACACACAGGTAGGGGGAGGGGCAGAGGGAGAGAATCTGAAGCAGACCCCCCCACTGAGCGTGGAGCAATGCAGGGCTTACTCTCATGACCCATGAGATCATGACCTGGGGTGAAACCAAGAGTCAGACACTTAAATGCCTGAGCCACCCGGGTGCCCCCACATTCAAATTTTATTCAGCAACTGATTTCAGGCAAGAGAAAGGTATACTGTTTTCCCAGTGTACTTGAACCATATGACCAGTCAATCTAAGTCATTCAGACCAAAGATAAAAAATTTCAGATTTTTTTGTACCAACTCTATAGATTAAAAAACCTCAGAGATGATGGGCATTTGCAATCTGTTCAGCACCTCACAGAAGGCCATCATGCACAGAGGGAATTTAATGAATAGCATTTGGTGGTGATAGAGGTGATCTCAACTCACAGCTTCCCTTGGCCTGTACAGAAGCAGATCAGTCATTCCATTCCTACTTGTAAAATTATAACGTGTTTTTCTGTGGAACACTTACCAGAAATGTTGCAGTGTGAAAGCTATAAACGAAGGATGATGGCCGTGATGTCTTTGGAAGTTATTTGCTTAGCAAATGATGGATACTGGAAATATATTTTGGATGCAGGTGATGTAAAATCTATTAACTGTCTTTTGCTTACACTATTTTATTTAGGGCTATAATTATGTTCAGTCACTTTAAAATCTATTTTCTTAAGTTTTTATTTATTTATTTGAGAGAGAGAGTGAGAGAGCAAGTGAGAGAGCACAGATGGGGGGAGCTGCAGAGGGAGAGGGGAGAAGCAGGCTCCCCACCGAGGAAGCCCAATGCGGGGCTTGATTCCAGGGATTGTGACCTGAGCTGAAGGCAGATACTAAACTGACTGAGCCACCCAGGAGCCCCTCAAAATCTATTTTTAGTTGTAGAGGAAACTTTTTAGTTGATTTTAAGTTTCCATTTTTCTTTTTTCTAAGATAACTTCCTTTACCTGACAAATATATATAGATATAAATATTTATTTTTATTGAATATATATTTATATATATATTTTTTAATTTGAGTATCGTTGACACACAATATTATATTAGTTTCAGGCGTACAACATAGTGATTCAACAACTCTATATATTATGCTATACTCACCATAAGTGTAGCTACCATCTGTCCCCACGCAATGTTATTTTTTTTTTCAAATTTTTATTTAAATTCTAGTTAGTTAACATACAGTGCAGTATTGGTTTCAGGAGTAGAATTCAGTGATTCATCATTTACATACAACACCCAGTGATCATCATAACAAGTTGCCTCCTTAATACCCATCACGCATCTAGCCCATCCCCGACCCACCTCCCTCCATCAGCCCTCAGTTTGTTATCATTAAGAGTCTCTTATGGCTTGTTTCCCTCTCTCCCTTTTTTCTTTCCCCTTCCCTTATGTTCATCTGTTTTCTTTCTTAAATTCTGCATATGAGTGAAATCATATGGTATTTGTCTTTCTCTATTTCACTTTGCAAAATACACTCTAGCTTCACCCATGTAGTTGCAAATGGCAAGATTTCATTCTTTTTGATGGCTGAATAATATTCCACTGTGTGTGTGTGTGTGTGTGTGTGTGTGTGTGTGTGTGTGTGTGTGTGATACACACCACATCTTCTTTATCCATTCATCAGTCATTGGACATTTGGACTCTTTCCATTATTTGACTATTGTTGATAATGATGCTATAAACATCTTCTTCTTTGTATATTTATTAATTGGTATTTAACATGTATGTACCCCTTTGAATCTGCACTTTTGTATCCTTTGGATAAATACCCAGTAGTGCAATTGCTGGACCATAGGATAGTTCCATTTTTAACTTTTTGAGGAACCTCCATACTGTTTTCCAGAGTGGCTCCACCATTTTGCATTCCCACCAACAGTGCAAGAGGGTGCCCCTTTCTCTGCATCCTTGCCAACACCTGTTGTTTCTTGTGTTGTTAATTTTAGCCATTCTCACAGGTGTGAGATGATATCTCATTGTAGTTTTGGTTTGCATTTCCCTGATGATGAGTGATATTGAGCATCTTTTCATGTGTCTGTTAGCCACCTGGTTGTCTTCTTTGGAGAAATGTCTATTTATGTCTTCTCCATGCAACGCTATTACCATACCATTGACTATATTCCCTATGCCGTACCTTTTATTCCTATGATTTATTCATTCCATAACTGGAAGCCTATATCTCCCATTCCCCTTCACCCATTTATTTTTTACCCATTCCCCCCGCCACGTCCCTCCCATCTGGCAACCATCAGTTTGTTCTTTGTATTTAGCGGTCTGATTCTACTTTTTGTTTGTTTGTTCATTTATTTTGTTTTTAAGATTTCACATATAAGTGAAATCATATAGTATTTGTCTTTCTCTGACAACTTTATATTTTATTTTTCACATGGAAATTGCACATGATCAAAAAACTTTATAAACACTTCTCTAAAAATTTTGCAGTATCAAAAATGATATTAAACTACTCACTGTACTACCTTTTATATTTACTTTCACTTGGAAATTATCCCTATTCTGTATTTACACAATTTATTTTTTAAATTAAAAATAGCAGGTTTTTTTGTGATGAGCACTGCATATTGTATGGAAGTATTGAATCACTCACTATATTTTATACCTGAAACTAATATTGCACTGTATGTTAACTAACTGGAATTCAAATAAAAACTTTAAAAAATAGCTGTTTTTGTGTCAGCCCTGGGTTTGTAACTAGCTCTGCATTTAGAACTTAGGCTAGTTGCTTGCCCTCTCCAACCCTAATTTCCTTGTTAATCAAATAATTCCTACCTCATTGGGTTGTTTTGAGAACACCATTATCCAATATAATTTTCTGAAATGATGGAAATGTTCTATCTGCACTGTCCAGTATGGTATCCACAGCTCTAATGTGGATTTGGGGCCACATAAAATGCTCCATAAATATTTGTTGAATGAATAAATGAATGAATAAAAAATATAGGTAGTATCCTAAAACTATTTAGTGTTCCTAAAAACATGTACAAAAAGCTCTGTGTCCAAAAAGTGAACCATAGATAAGTCATGAAGGAGGTTTCATTTCAAGTGAATAAATAAATAAAGCCCTAATTATACCTGTTATATTCTCCAGCATTTCTTGTGTGCTCTAGTGGATGTTCTTTTATTTCTCTCACATTGAACTGCTATACAAGCATCTAGCTGAAGCCAGATTTTCTATTTTTCACCTTATCCAATGATCTCCATCCTTGAATCAATTGTTATTAATGAAGCTAAAGTTGCTTTTTACTAGGTTCAGCACTTTTTGTTTTCAGTTGCTTGCAAAAAAAATGGGTAAAATATAATAAAATGCTCAACTAGTTGCACAAATACCACCCCCCAAATTGGATGAAATACCAAAACTGAACTCTGTCATATGGTAGCTCAAGGAATTTATTCATCCATCATCTTAAGACAAAAGTCCATGGTTCCAAGGTGGCTTCAAGTTGCCAATATGAAACATAGGCTTGTGTGCTCTGTGAATATCAAATGTGTGAACAATGAGAGTTGCCTGAACTGCAGAGAAGACAGAAAAAAGTACATTCATATAGTTTCAAATAATTTTATAAATATTTCATAGAATCATTTGCTAATTGTTTATATGGCAATGACCATAACCATTATTTAGATTTTATCATAATAAGTTAACTATAAATGGTTACAAATAATTCATGTTTTTTTCTTGATTTCTTCATTACAGGTACCATTCCTGCCTTAATTAATCTACTAAAGGGTTCCAAAATAAAATTACAGTGCAAAGCAGTTGGGTTATTGAGTAATATCTCGACCCATGCAAGGATAGTGCATGCTATAGTAGATGCAGGAGGCATTCCAGCTCTGATCAACCTACTGGCTTCTGATGAGCCTGAACTACATTCTCGCTGTGCTGTCATTTTATATGACATTGCTCAACTTGAAAACAAGGATGTTATTGCCAAATATGTAAGGTTTTTTCCATAGAGTATCATTTTGATTGACAGTAATTCCCTTATATAGAAGCTAGAAAGGTACACACCCATGTTATCATGCAACAGCAAAACTCCCAGGGAAGAACTCCAGTCTCAGGGAAGATGGCAAAGAACAAACCTGCCACAATCCCATGAGTGCCAAAAGTAAACAAGAGCAAGATAGTACCAGAGCAAGCACAGCAAAGGGCATGAGCTCCGGCAGAGTTGTCTGATTCTTGTGTCCCTTTCTCCCAAGGCAACACAGTGGGCCCCAAGGGAGGCTACCCACGCATTGGGTTTGTGTTGCCCCAGAAGAATCTCGAGCTTAAGACCCCTGTCACTTTGGTAGCAGTCAGTAAGCCAGCCTATTCTTTGAAGGGAGACGTTCCCGCACCTTTCAAGATTACTGGCTGCATAAAAATCCTGAGGAATGGCCTGGGTGAAAGAGCTGTGATGATCTTGGCGCACTCCAGTACATGTAGGAGTGCAAGAGGCCCAGGGAGGACCGTTTCTCAACAAAAATATCAGGTGAAACTCTCACCTGGGATAACGTGGAAGGCGGGCCAAGTACCTACTTAGCTCTACGGTGTGGTTGCTTCTTGTTTATGAGAAGATATTATAAGAAACGCTACCACTTTGGCTATTTCTGTTCTGGCTGGAAAATGTAGTCTAACTGTATACCAGAAAGTTACTTTTTGTGAACACCAAGCAGTTTTTGCCATGCTGTAGTCCTCAATTAACACCCACCTTATTGTGTCTGCTAATGTTTCCTTTAAGATCTTTTAGTAGATAGTTATAAGATTATTTTTATACTCTTCTTCAGGTGATGCTTCTTCCCCACGGACTGAGTCATTTAGCATCATAAAATGTACTCTTTTTGTCAAGTGTAATACTTTTGCCCTGAATTCTATCTTGTCCAGAGTTATGTTTATGATCTCTGTTTCTTTGTGTTCTCATGTTTATTTGGCTTTGCCTATCCTTTTTAACTTTTTTTGAGTCATTTCCTGTTGGTTGGTTTGTTATCATTTGGAAAATATATTAGAAATATAGACACCCCAGGCCCACCGCTAGAGTTAGTCTTTATTTATTTAGAACTTATAAATCTCCAGTTGATCTAACAATTAACTGGAGTTAGGATAAGTGTGTCCCTTGTATACAGTGTATTTAGGTTTTGCTTTGCCTTTCACTTTTTATTTAGTATAGCCCATTTACATTTACTGACATGACATTTAATCTTAGTTCTGTCATAGTTTGTTATTATTATTTTTTAATCTTCTGTATGGTCAATGTCTTCTTTCTCTTTTTATCTTTAAAGTCCAGGACTGACAGATCAACATTAGTTACCTCTTTTTCCTTTGGTATAACTTTTCAACATGTATATTCATCTTTTATTTTTGGAATGTTTTCCTGAATTCGTATGTTGAAGTATTTTTTTTCCTGTAGTATTCTTTTAGTCCATTCACATAAGTACTTTTTGTGAGTTTCTTAGGTGGCGGATTTTATTCTAGATGCTGGGGTGATAGCAGTGAATGAAACAGACAAAACCCCAGTGTCATGGAACTTGTAGTTGGGAGTAGCAAGACAATAAACAAAGCAAATAAACCAAATATATAGTATGTTAGGTGACAAGAAGTGATAAGGAGGAAAGTAAAGCAGGGAAAGGGAAGGGGGGAGTTAGCATTTGAAGTTGGCATTTGAGTACAGACCTCAAGTAGGTTAGAGAGTATGTCCTATTTTTCTGTTGGGAAGAGCACTCCAGGCAGAGGAGACAAGTGCAAAGTTAATGGAAGTTGGAATGTGCCTGGCACGTTCAAGGAACAGCAGGAAAGCAAAAGTAGCTGAGAGGAGAGAAATAGGAGATGCTTAGCTGGGTAGTGGTGGAACACATCATGTAGGGCCATGTGGGCATCTGTTAGACACCTTGGTTTTTATGCTGAGTATGTTAAGCCATTGAATGATTTTGTTCTGGGAAGTTCCGTGGAGAGATTTATATCACTTTACCTTCTGTTTTGAAATAGGTGGGCAAGGGTGGATGTTGCAAGACTGATTAAAAAACTATTATAGTAATCCAGATAATAGATAATGATGTCTTGGACCAGGATGATAATAGTGGAAATGGTGAGACGTGATCACATTCTGTATTGTATTTTGAATGTTGAGTCACCAGGTTCTGTGGGAAAGTTGAAAGATCTGGAGGGACCTCAAAAGAGACTAAGAAGGAACGGCCAACAAGGTAGATGGAAACCTGAAGAATCTGTTTTCCAATCAGCCAAGTGAAGAAAGTGTTCCAAAGAAGGAAAAAATGATCAATAGTGTCAAAGCTATTGTAAGGTGAAAGTCAAATACTGACCACTGAATTTATTGGTCTGAATTAAATGACCACCTATCTGTGGAAACACTAATTATCTGTGTATTGTATCACCTTTTCCTGTCTTACATAGCTATCATTTTTTCCCTAGTCCTTTTCCACTCATTGTTCCATTTTATTTCATTTTTCTTCTTTTCTCAATCCTATCCTGTCACTTGCTATGGTTTTCAGCATTGATTTATTTTTGTGTTGATTACAGTTTGGCTTTTACATTTCTCCACATCTTTCCTGAGCTTTTTCAGCTCTCATTTCATCTCCCCTGTCTCAAAAAAAAAAAAAAAACAAAACTTCCCTGAGTTCTGATGTCTCTCCTGTGCATTCTTGTTTTTATAGAAGTGATTGCCTCATTAATTTTTTCATTGATAATAATATACCACTTTTGGTTACAATTTCATCTATTTTGTGGCAATATTTTTTTGATAAGCCATTTTCATCTGCCATAAGTTTTTCTAAAATATATTTGGACAGATGCTGTTCTAGTTCCTTTATGATCATTACTCATCTTTGAATTAGATAAGTTCTTTCTGGCCTGGCTATTTGCAGGAAGTATATGTGGGAAAGGGCCCAGTTCTGGGCTAGCAAAGATATGACTTATGCCACGGATTTGTATGCATGGATCCTTTCAGCTTTACTTTTCCCTAAGCCAACAGAGACTGGTACATAGTACCTCACAATGTAGATTCTGTTTCCTCCACAATGTAGAGTCCATCTCTTCCTTTTTACCTCACCAATAGATTACTTCTTCCAAACATACCTTGTCAGTATGATTCATTGCTAATCCTTGCCTTCCTTAAGTTTTGCAACTTTATGCTAAATAGACCCAGGAAAGAGCCTGCTGCCATCCTGCATACCCATTCCTATTGTTTCAGACAGAGAATTGTGTATTTCTTTTTTCTGCCCCTCAAAGTAGAGGCAACTCATTTAGGAAAACTGTGCTCTGCTAGCATTTCCTGTGGAGAGTAGCCATGGGATATCTCTCTGATCTCTGCTGGTAACTCACACATACTTATTGTGACTCAACATTATAGATGCCTCCTGCCTTTATTGAAAATGAGATTACATTTCTGTTTATCTTTTTTAATGCTTTTGCATTATTTCTGGTAATAGAGGGAAATGCCATCTTTACTCCATTTAAAATTAGGAAATTATATTCAGATTTAAAAATATTTTGTGTTGCACAAATATAATTACCAATTACCAGCACAATACTTGCAATGGCAAATATTTCCAAATTGGCAGTGTATTCAATTAATCTTACTCAGTTGCTTTACTTTTTAGAGATTTATTAAATGTTACAGTGAACTTGTATCCTTGATTTATTTTGGTGTAGAGAAGGCTACTTTATGCTCAGACTTATATTAACTGTCATTTAATGTGACATACCAGTAGACACATTTGTGGGCAATCATCCTCTCCTACATAAGCAGGTATTTATAGCAAGAAAGACTATAGACTTATGTTTTTCAATAAAGATTGCATAAATCTTATATAATTCAGTTGTTTTTTAATTTAAATTCAATTAGCCAACATATAGTACATCATTAATTTCAGATGTAGTGTTATACAGTTCATCAGTTGCGTATACCACCCAGTGCTCATCACATCACGTGCCCATCAATCAATTTTTTTGTTTCTTTATTTTTAGAATGGAATCCCAGCTTTGATAAGTCTTTTGAAATTAGACATAGAAAATGTGCTCATAAATGTAATGAACTGTATACGGGTGTTATGTATAAGAAATGAACAAAATCAAAGAGCAGTGAGAGACCATAAAGGCATCCAACATCTTATCACATTTCTGAGTTCTGATTCAGGTGAGTCTCAACTTCTGTATTATTCCTAAGTGATCAGATATATTAAGTGAAGCAATACAGGTTGGACTTGTCCTATATGAATACATGTCTGGATTTATCTTAGAATGGATCTACACATATATAATATAAACTAAATATCTGGAACACTCAAGTTCAAATGCTGGTTTATAAAAGGAAGTGACTCTCAAAGCCATAGTTTAAAATAAAAGTTTAAAATAAAATAAAAATAAATGGAAATACTGGCACAAATCATGAAAATAATGCAGTTAATATACCCAGGGACTTGAGTAGATAACTCCTTGTGTGAATAACACATATATTGATCTTTGGGAACTATTTTATAAGTTACCACAAAAACTTCAGATTTGCTGTTAGATATTGGACAGCAAAATTCTAGGTCATCAGGTCATTAGGCCAATTATCACACTCTGAAGTACATATCAGCACCAAGAACATCACGAGCTATGAGGTAGCTCTTGTCTGCACTACAAATGGTCTCTTAGGTTCTATAAGAATTATCTCATTTCAGTGAGCATACACATAACAGGGTAAGCTTCAAATCCATGGTTTTCCCCAAATTTGAGGGGATAAAAAATTGGGGGAAAGCTTGCCCATTTTTCTTCCTCCGCAGTTTATCATCTTTCTGTTCTAGGTTTTCAGGAATAAATATAGAAAAAATATGTTGGTTAACATGTAAGATAGGGTTATGGATAAGGGGGTTATTGCAGAGAGCTTTCTCTTACTTTAGACCTTCAAAATAATTATCATCTTCTAGGGACACCTGGGTGGCTCAGTCTTTAAGCGTCTGCCTTCGGCTCAGGTCATGATCCCAGGGTCCTGGGATTGAGCCCCGCATCGGGCTCCCTGCTCAGCGGGAAGCCTGCTTCTCCATCTGCCTGCCGCTCCCCCTGCTTGTCTCTCTCTCTCTCTCTCTCTCTGACAAATAAATAAAATCTTTTAAAAAATTATCATCTTCTAAGAGCCTCTCTGTATGGGGAAATCATTTGAAAGTCCTTTCCCTTAATCCCTTAATTACAAATTTCTAAGGTCATCTGCTCTAACTGTCCCTCCATCAATAACTATGCTCTACTTTTTTTTTTTTTTTAAGTAGGCTCCACGCCCACTGTGTAGCCCAGTGCAGGGCCGGAATTCACAACCCTGAGATCAAGACCTGAGCTGAGATCAAGAGTCAGACACTTAACACCTGAGACACCCAGGTGCCCCTACTTTATCATTTTTGAGAATGGCATTAGGGATAATGCATAGAATCCTCCAATCACCATGCACTATGTTATACAGCTGAAACTAATATAACATTGTCCACTATGCTTCAATTTAAAAAAATAGCATTAGAGGGGCACCTGGGTGGCTCAGTCAGTTAAGCATCTGCCTTCGCTCAGGTCATGATCCCAGGGTTCTGGGATCTAGCCCTGCATTGGGCTCCCTGTTGAGTGGGGAGCCTGCTTCTCCCTCTCCCTCTGCCTGCAGCTCCCCCTGCTTATGCTCTCTCTGTCAAATAAATAAATAAATAAAAACCTCAAAAAAAAGTTTAAAAAAATAGCATTAGAGAGAGCCAGTTTTTATGTTTATTTTAACCATATAATTTTTACTTGTTTATAATTGTTCTTTATTTTATTATTTGTGTTTTATCTCCTTAATTAAAATTTAAAGATGGGGCGGGGCATACCTGGGTGGCTTAGCTGGTTAAGTGTCCAACTCTTGATTTCAGTTCAGGCCCTAATCTTAGGGTTGTGAGATTGAGCCCTGAGTCTGGCTGCATGCCGGGTGTGGAGCTGCCTTAAGATTCTCTCCCTCTCCCTCTCCCTCTGCCCCTCCCCCCCCAAAAATGTAAAGACAGGGACTAGTTTTTCCCTATCCTTTTTCATCCTCCAAATCCTAGATGCTAGAACAAAGCACAAATTATAGAGGCCATTTGAACAAATAAACAGTAAATAAATTCATGAAAGAAAGCTATAGAAATAAATTGTTGAAATTGTTTCTTTTGGGTTCTTGCCTTATCTAAATAAAAGTAACTTATCCTATACTATAATCTATATTATCTCCTCATTCTGAGGAAGATAATTTTGGAAAAAAAAGTTAATTATTTTTACTCTTCATTTATAAATTATAAATGCTTCATTTATAATTTTAATGCTTTAACAAATAATTCTCTTGGCTGTTAGCTGGGTTGTTAAGTTGTAGGCATTCATAAAGGAATTTTATTAATTCCAATATCTTCTTAACCATCCCCAACCACTCTAAGATTTCATGCATTAAGGTAAAATGGCCCCAAAGCAGAGTCACAGCAGTTTCTTGAGACAAGGGATTTATTAACATCTTAGTTTTGACCCCTGTCTCCAGGAATTCCTCAACCTTTGTTGAGTTTGGTTTGGTTTAAGCCTTTGCTTCACTCATCTTTAGCTGCTTATTTCACACTCTTCCACTTATGTTTGTGACTGCCTGCATATTCTCATTCCTGTAATGCTTCAAATTTCATCTTTCTCATGGCACACAATTGTCCTGTTTTGGGTTATTGACAAAGGTCTGTATGAAATTGAAATATGTAACAGAAAGTGTACAAAATGCTTTTCAACTGCAAACTATCAGCAAAACTTAAGGAGCACTTCATCCTTCTTAGAATGATTATTGACACATTTCACAGCAGATGTGTTTTCTCTACACTCCCTGGGATGTTAGGTAATAGACAGTATATGCAATCATTACCTTCTGAAATCTGAAAACTTTGGAATTCTGTTCATAAGAGTTTTAGATAAAGACCATCTCCATTATGAAACTTCTTCTATCCAACTCTTAAAGTTGGGAGTTCCTCAGGCTCTGTTCTTGGTCTGCCTTTTTTTTTTTTTTTTTTTAAATACAGCACACTCTCCTGAGCAATCATATTTACTCTTCAGAACTTTGTTAACGGTTATAATCTATTCTTCCCAGTTCTCTATCCAAATCCCTGACTTCTCCTCTGAGCTTTAGAGCTAGTTTGGATTATTGAGGCACTAAGATAGCCCCTCTCCCTTTAGAATTTGGATCCAATTGATAAGTAGACACAGGAATCAAATAGAGATCAAAACTTCAGCCATATTTCTGGAAAGTTGCTTTGAGAAAACAGAAAAAAAAAATAGTACTAAAAGAACAAAATAACCCAAGCCATGCATTTGTGATGACTGATTCTCTAATTAAGAAATTATGTAATTCAGGGCACCGGGTGGCTCAGTGGTTAAGCATCTGCCTTCGGCTCAGGTCATGATCCCAGGGTCCTGGGATCGAGCCCCGCATCGGGCTCCCTGCTCAGCGGGAAGCCTGCTTCTCCTTCTCCCACTCCCCCTGCTTGTGTTCCCTCTCTTGCTGTCTCTCTGTCAAATAAATAAATAAAATCTTTTAAAAAAAAAAGAAATTATGTAATTCACTATTCCTTGTATGGGAGAAATGAGCAACATGTCTGAGTGTAGGAATTTCCACATTTTGGACTGATGCAGCAGTACGGGGTAAAAGAATGATCCGCCCACACTCTCTTAATTTCAGTAACCTTTTGGGTTTTGTTTTTGTTTTTAAGATTTTATTTATTTGTTTGAGACAGAGAGAGAGAGAAAGGGATGGGGAGGGGCAGAGGGAGAGGGAGAGGCAGACTCCCCGCTGAGCAGGGAGCCTGATGCGGAGCTTGATCCTAGGACTCTGATCTGAGATCAGGCCCTGAGCCGAAGGCAGATGCTTAACGACTGAACCACCCAGGCGCCCCAGCCTATTGGGTTTAACAACATTTCAAGTATTACTAGAGTGATGTATGTAAGATGCAAAGTTGATCATATTTTTACCCTCTTTTAAATCATTCACTGGCTCTTTGTCACCTAGGATAAAGCCCAAATTTCTGTCATAACCTATATGCCCTTCTAACCTTCTAATTCCAAATGGAAATGACCTTCCCATCATTTCCTATCATTCCCCCCCTTCTCTTATTTTACTCTGAAGTAGTATGGAACATATTGCTATTTCGTAGTTCTGGCCTTTGGCTTGTTCCGCAAGGTCAGGGACTTTGTCTTGTCGGTTCATCACTGTTTCCTAATGCCTAGAACAGTGCCTGGCATGTAGTAGCTCCTCAATAAAGTATTTGCTGAAAAAGCAAATGATTAAATGATGAAAATATCCATAACAAAAAGTTAATATATTTGATATAAGTGATATATATATACATACATATACATGTGTATATATATATAAATGGGTATGAACAAGAAGGCTTTAATAGAGATAACTAACCTGAATGACAGAAAGTAAGAAAATGCTAAAAAAAAAATATGGAAGTATATCAATTGTTGCTAAATCTTGAGGGAGTTCTCAGACTTACCCTTGCAACTTTTCTGTAAGTTTTAAAGAGAACAAGTACAACTGGTTAATAAGCATGTATGAAACTCTTTAGATTCACCAGTAACCAAAAATATGAAATAAAAGGAGACACAGTTTTTTGCCTACCAAATTAGCTAAATGTACATATTTATTCTTAATGATGACATCTATACTTAAAAAGGTAGGGCCACATTGAAACTCTCATACTCTGATTATGGAAGGGTAAGATGCAATTATCATTTTTGGAAAGTAATTTACTGTGATATATTAAATTATTCCAGTAATTCCCGGGACTCTACACTAAGGGAAAAAACAGGAAGGAAAAATACCTTTTGTGCCAAGATTTCTCCTAAATATTGTTTAAAACAGTGAAAAGTTGGAAATGACACGACACGTATTTTTTAAAAAGGTGGATGGATAAGGAAATGTAATACTCATCAGTGGAACGTTTAGGAGATACAGATGCTCACAAAGAATGGGAAAATGTTTTACTGGTAAATCCAGAGGCAGGGTGTTGTGCTTATAGTACAGCTATATTAAATATGCCTGTAACACTACTTCAACATATCTTTTCCTTTAAAAAGTGAATGAGAGTAAATCAAATATTTGTTGTTTGGGTGGTAAGAATCTGGATGGTTTTATTTCTATTTTTCTTATTTTCTAAATTTTCTATACACTCTATAAGTTTGATTTTATAATATGGGAATCTAGTGATAAGTTGCATTTTTATATTTTTAAAAGGCTTATTTAACTGTTTCTCGAATTCATTTGAAGATGTGTTGAAGGCTGTATCTTCTGCTACAATCGCTGAGGTGGCACGTGCCAATAGGGATGTTCAGGATGCTATTGCCATGGAAGGAGCCATTCCTCCTCTGGTGGCTCTTTTTAAAGGGAAACAACTGAGTGTCCAAGTGAAGGGTGCAATGGCTGTGGAATCACTGGCTAGTTACAACCCGTGTATACAGAGAGCATTTCTGGAAAAATCCTTAAGTAAATACCTTTTAAAACTCCTCAAGGTAGGAACTTTATGATAGCTTGTCATTTTTCTTAGACAAAGTATTCAATACTGAATTCAGTAAAGTGAAAATTAAAACCAATTCTTGAATAAACTTTTTTTTAAGATTTTATTTATTTATTTATTTATTTATTTATTTATTTATTTATTTATTTATTTATTTATTTTAGAGATAGAGCACCAGCGTGTTGGGGGGCGGGAATCTCAAGCAGACCATGCCTGGTGTGGAGCCCAACGCCGGGCTCGATCTGATGACCCTGAGATCACGATCTGAGCCAAAACCCAGTCAGACGCTTAACTGACTGAGCCATCCAGGTGCCCCTAGAATAAACTTTTTATAAAACATCCCTACAGTGTTCAATAAATGCTCATTGAAGGAATGGAATATTTTTTTAAATAGGCGTTTCAAACAGATGTTAAGGAACAAGGAGCTGTAGCCCTCTGGGCCTTGGCAGGACAAACCCTGAAACAACGGAAGTATATGGCAGAACAGATTGGATACAACTTTATAATAAACATGCTTTTGTCACCATCAGCTAAAATGCAGTATGTTGGTAAGTTATTTCCTATGCATAAATTTACACAATGTAGAGCAGCACATTGAAGTATCAGATATATTTCTTGCTTTTCTTGACCAGGAGGTGAAGCAGTCATAGCTCTAAGTAAGGACAGCAGGATGCATCAAAATCAAATATGTGAAGGGAATGGAATTGCACCGTTGATTCGCTTACTGAGGATTAGTAAAATAGCTGAAGTCACACTTCTGAGTGTCATCAGAGCGGTGGGGTCCATTTGTATTGGTTTGTAAATTTTTTCTCCATTCTTAAAATATCAGTAAGACACTTCCCTTCCTCTCTGTCCCCATTGATAAAGCCCTAAATCATACTTAATCTATAAAAGGCTTACCATTGTTTTAATTTCTCTAAGACCTTAATGAGTAAAAGTGGTGTAATTAGGAATTTTTTTTTTTTATCAGCTTTGCCCTTCAACTCTGGTTAAAAAGGATTAATGAGGACAATGAGCTTAGGCTGTTTTGAGTTAAAGGAATCTCATTGTTTTAAGTTTAAGAGAAAAATATTTCTTCTTTCCAATCTTAAGAACTCTTATGTTTTATATAGAGTTTCTAATGCTGGGGCACATTTTTCAATTCCAGTCTTTTTCCTTAATGATTCTTTCTTTATAAAGGGGCCGGGGCAGGGGTGTGGCTTAGTTGGTTGAGCGACTGCCTTCGGCTCAGGTCATGGTCCCAGAGTCCTGGGATCGAGTCCCGCATCGGGCTCCCTGCTCGGCGGGGAGTCTGCTTCTCCCTCTGCCTCTGCCCCTTCCCTAGCTCCTGCTTTCTCTCGCTCACTCTCTCTCTCTCAAATAAATAAATAAAATCTTTTTTAAAAAAATAAAAGTGGCCAGTAGGTCTAATTGTTCCTTTCACTGCAAAGGAACTAACATTTTGGGATGTCTGTCAAAACGTTGTAGAATTGTCAGTGATTGATCTACCAAAAATAAACATTTGAGTTCTTTGCTAAACTTCATGAATGTATGAAGCTGATTTTAGACTGTTTTTGTAGATAAGAAAAAAAATCTTTATTTGTAGTTGATTGTATTTCCTCAAAACATAGTCTAGCTGAATGAAGAATGTAGGAATTAGTTCCAAAAAGATTTTTTCTCCTTGCTTGAAAAAGCTACTTTACAGAAGTTCATTAAAGCTCCAGGGCAGTCAGTCAGACAAAATAATGTTTCTTCTTTTAGCCAGAGCCTATGGTATAGATTATAGAGGTTTCTAAAATTCTAATAGATGATAACATATATACAAAGATACTGTGTGTGTGTGTATGTGTGTGTGCATGAGTGTGAACACGCACGAATGTAATTTCTCCTCATTACTTCACTTCAAAGCTGTCTACAAACCTGTCTACATTTGCCATAGACAAGGGGATCTCCAGCAGAACTATGGAAGAAAACTCTTGATTTCAAATTCACTAGTGTAGACTGGTTATACATGCACACACACCTCCTTTTTTCTTCCTCATCATGTTCATATTTTCTTCTATGTTCTTGAACATATGCAACATATTTAAAATAGCTGTTTTAACATCTCTGTAATGATTTCCAACATCTATACCATTTCTGGGTCTCTTTCTATTGGCAGATTTTTTTTCCTGATTATGAATCATATTTTCCTACTTCTTTGCATGCCTACAAATTTTAAATGTGGGTTTTTAAGGACCTATTGAAATAGCTTACATACAATAAAATATTTTATTTTTATAGATTTTATTTATTTCTGAGAGAGAGCAAGCGCGTGCGCAAGCATGAGGGCATGGGGGGAGAGGCAGAGGGAGAAGCAGACTCCCTGCTGAGCAGGGAACCCCACGTGGAACTTAATCCCAGGACCCAGAGATCATGACCTGAGCTGAAGGCAGACGCTTAGCCAGCTGAGCCACCCAGGCGCCCCATAATAAAATATTTAAATAAAATATACAATATAATAAAAAACAAAAATACATTAAACCATACAATTTGATGAGTTTTAACATATGCATTCAGCTGTGACAGCATCACAACAGTCAAATAAATGAATATAACCATCACCCTGAATGATTTCATTGTGTGGCTTTGTAATCCCTCCCTCTTTGCACTTCCATCTCCAGAGAACCACTGATGGTTTCTATCATTATAGATTAGTTTGTATTTTCTAGAATTTTATGTAAGTGAATTATACAGATACACTTTTTTTCTTGCCCCTTTCACTTGACATATCTATTTTGATTTTTATGCATATTATTGTATCAATAGTTCACTTTTTTAATGCTGAGTAGTATTCCATTGTATAGTATGATGGATAATTCTATGTCTTATGTTATATATGGTTATTACCTACTAACTACCTAAATACATACATATCCTGTTGGTTGTTTTTCTGGAAAACCCTGGCTCATACATATGGATATACTATTTGTTTATCCATGCACCCACTGGTGGACATTTAGATTGTTTCCAGTTTCTTGCTATTATATCTAAAACTGCTATGAACATTTGTGTGTAAGTCTTTGTACAGACACAAACGTTTTCATTTAGTTATCCTAAAACTTATTTAGGGTAAATACCTAAAAGTAGGATTGCTGGATCATATAGTAGTATATGTTTAACTTTTAGAGAAACTGCCAGACTTTTTCCAAGTTGTGTTATTACTTTGCATTCCTACTAGCAGTGTATGAGAGTTCCAGCAGCTTCACATCCTTGCCAACATTTAGTATGATGACTTTAGCCATTATAGTGGGTATGTAGTAAATCTTATTAATAATGCAGAACATCTTTTCATGTGCTTATTTGCCATTTGTATATCCTCTTTGGTAAAGCGTCTCTTCAGATATTTTGCCCATTTTTTAAATTGTATTGTCTTACTGAATTGTAAGCATTCTTTATATATTCTAGATACAAATCATTTGTTAGATGTATGTTTTGCATATTCCCAGTCTATGGTGTGTTCCTCCATTTATGTAACAGGGCCTTTTGAAGAGCAAAAGTTTTTAATTTTGATGAAGTCCAATTTATTGATATTTTAAATATTTTAGTTCATAGGTTTTGTGTTCTCTTTAAGAAACCTGCCAAACTCAAGATCATCAAGGTTTTCTGTTTCCTCTGTATTTAGATGTATGATCCATTTTGAGTTAATTTTTGTATATGGCCCAGATTTTTTTTTTTTTTTTGCATATGGCTATCCAATTGCTTCAGCCCCATTTATTTAAAAGATGATCTTTTCCTCCATTGAATTTTTGTGAGTCTATTTCTGGACTTTTCATTCTGTTCCATTTACCCACTTGTCTATCTTTATGCTATACTGTCTTAATTATTGGAAGTTCACTTGAAAGCAGGAAGTATAAGTCCTTCAACCTTGCTATTCTTTTTCAAAGTTGTTTTGGCTTATTCTAGGTCCTTTGTATTTCCATATAATTTAAAAAATTAATCTGTCAATTTCTGAAAAGGATCTATTATTTTGATTGGAATTGCATGAAGTCTATAAATAAATTTGTGGAGAACAGACATCTCAATAATAATTTCTTCCAATCCATAAACACGGTATGTCTCCTTGGTTATGTCTTCTTTAATATCTCTCAGCGATGATTCCTAGTTTCCAATACACAATTCTTGTATATATTTTATCTTAGGTATTTTGTATTTTAAAATTATGCATAATAGGTTTTATTTTTTTTAAAGATTTTATTTATTCGAGAGAGAGAGAATGAGAGATAGAGAGCACGAGAGGGAAGAGTGGTCAGAGGGAGAAGCAGACTCCACGCTGAGCAGGGAGCCCGAGGTGGGACTCGATCCCGGGACTCCAGGATCATGACCTGAGCCGAAGGCAGTCGCTTAACCAACTGAGCCACCCAGGCGCCCACATAATAGGTTTTAAATGAATGCTGGACATTGTGAGTTGTAAACTGATAGATGCTGGATTTTACTGTTTTCCTTTAAAGGGAGTTGGGCTCTGTTCTGGTGTGCAGTTATCTTACTTAGGATCAGTTTGCTCCTTTTGTAGCTAGCTTTCAAGCTTTGTTAGGACAAGTCTGGAGTAGCCTTTACTCTGGATCTAACTTAACTCCACTATTAAGATGATATTGTTCCAAGGACTTAATTCCTTATATAGTTCCTTGAATTATGAGGTATCTAAACTCTGGCCACAGAACACAAACTATTCCTAGCTCTGTGTGAGTTCTGAGAATTGTTCAGCCTACTGCTTGTAGTGGTTCTTTTCCCAACTTAATGAAGTTTCATCTCATTATTAACATGTGCAGATTCAAAGATTTGAGGGTATTCTTCTTATCACACTACCATCATCATTATCATAATCATTATTATTAAAAGTATTCATTTTGGGGGGACCCACCTCGAGCACATTTACTCTTGGAAATCTCCTTTCTTACTCCTTTTCCACTTACTATGAAGTGAGCAATCCCTTTTCTGTGCTTCAGGTGTATTTTTCTATACCCCTGTTAAAGCACTCATTGCATGTACTGAAATCATGTATTTAAATAGTTGCTTCCCCTATAGAATATAAACACCTTGAAGGCAGATTCTAATTCCTCTTTTCCATTTTTTTTTTTTTTTTTTTTTTTTTTGGAGCCCAATGCCCGGCTCGAACTTGTGACCCCGAGATCAAGACCTGAGCTGAGATCAAGAGTCAGATACTTAACTGATTGAACCACTTAGGTACCCCCTAATTCCTCTTTTTAACTCTACTTCCTACCTCAGTTCCTGATGAATTAGGCATTCCAAGACCCATCAGCTAAATCAACAATATTGATGTAATCAATGTCTGTGTACGCCACTGGGTGGCCAGCGCGGGGTTAGGGGACAAGGAAACAAACTTGTTCTTTGCTCCTTCCATTTCCTCCAGTTCCTTCAAACTTCCCCAGATGATAAGTGACTTCTCTCCATTGTTCAGAGACAGGTCTGATCTTGTATTTATATTTAAGTATATAAACCTGCTGTGTATATTGTGATTTTTGTTGGCAAAAGAACAGAATTAAAATTATTTGTATATCCACTACAAGGAGATGACAAGTTTTTAAGCTGAGATTAGGCCTCTAATTTCAAGTATTATGTTCTAAAAGGAGACAGTAAGATTATCTTTTTAGTATGTGTATTTAAGGAATCTAGAAATTTTAACCAGATGATTTAGTCATTTTTATAAAAATCATTTTTTATGGAATACAATAGCAACTATAAGCTTAAGTACCTTGCAAATAATAAATCTTCAATAAATGATAGCTATTATATTATTACTCTTTGATAGTCTAGCATTTCTCATTTCTTGGTTTTGTGCCTCGTAGAAAACATCCACACTTCTAATAGTAATTTTTCCATGTTTATTCATTTTGCTTTTTAAAAAAATTAATTCAGGTATAATAGTGTTGATATAGCATTTCCTTTTTTAATTTAAATTCAATTAACTAACATATAATGTATTGTTTCAGGGGTACAGGCCTGTGATTCATCAGTCTTATATAATACCCAGTGCTCATTACAACACATACCCTCCCCAATGTCCATCACCCAGTTACCCCATCCCCACCCCCAGCAATCCTCAGATTGTTTCCTAAGATTAAAAGTCTCTATGGTTTGTACCCCTCTCTGGTTTTGTCTTTTCATTTTTTCCTCTCTTCACCTATGATCCTCTGTCTTGTTTCTTAAATTCCACATATCAGTGAGATTATATGATAATTGTCTTTCCCTGATTGACTTATTTCACTTAGCATAATACCCTCTAGTTCTGGGCGCCTGGGTGGCTCAGTTGGTTAAACCACTGCCTTCGGCTCAGGTCATGATCCTGGAGTCCTGGGATCGAGTCCCACATCGGGCTCCCTACTCAGCAGGGAGTCTGCTTCTCCCTCTGACCCTCTTCCCTCTCGTGCTCTCTATCTCTCATTCGCTCTCTCTCAAATAAATAAATACAATCTTTAAAAAAAGTGTTTAAAAAATATACCCTCTAGTTCCATCCACATCATTGCAAATGGCAAGATTTCATTTTCTGATGGCTGCGTGATATTCCAGTGTGTGTATGTGTTTGTGTTTGTGTGTGTGTGTGTGTGTGTGTGTGTGTGTGTGTGTATACACCACATCTTCTTTATCCATGCATCTGTCGATGGACACCTGGGCTCTTTCCATTGTTCGGATATTGTGGGCATTGCTGCTACAAACATTGGGGTGCAGGTGCCCCTTCAGATCACTACATTTGTATTTTTGGGGTAAATACCCAGTAACATATAGCATTTCCTTTTGTGATTTATTAACCATATTATGCTAGGACACTTAATCAACCCAACATATCAAACTGTGTTTGACTTTACCATTTCCAAGATGGAAAGAAATATTCTTATTGATATGTATATTCTTATAGGTGTCGCCCATACAAGTAATCCTATCAGTCAACAATTCATTGTAGAGGAAAATGCCTTTCCAGTACTTATTCACCTACTAAGAAATCACCCTTCTCCTAACATTAAGGTATGTAAAAGCTTTTAAGGTTTTGTTTTTCTTCTGATATAGGAAAAATTAACAGAAATATGACTTTTTGAGAATAATTTGTATCTTCATGTAAATTCACAAGTATAATAAAAAAATTTAACATTTTAAACAAAATCTTAGATGTTTTAAATTAAAAAATTGCTGTAAAAATAGTAAATTTTACTAAAATGTTAAATTTTCAAATAATTAAGTCTTGTGTCTTTACTCATCAAATAAGTTTTATTCCTCAGACATTTGATTACTCACAGAATTTCTTCCCTTCTTCAGATATTGGTTGCTAAAACTGGGTGGGTATAATGAAGATGTGTGATTTATGTAGCAAAATTTCTCAAATATAAATAATTCCTATCAATATTACACCATCAAAAGTTTTACCTTCTACCAAGCAGTCTTTGTTGGCCAGCAACAATAGTTTTCTCAATATGAGTAACTTATGAGTTGTTTAAGAGTCATTCACTCTTCTATTTACTTCTAGTAAACTGCCTTTAATAAAATGATGTTCGTGTCTATTCAAATCCTCTACCAAAGCTTTGGAAATTTAGGACATCTAGAGTTAGCCAGGCAGGAAATTATAACACCAAAAAATATATTTTCTCTTCAAAATTTGGTATGAGTTCTGTTGGAAATGAGAAAACAGAAATATGTAAGTAAATACAGCATTATTTCTTTTAAGGAATGTATTATCAGAAAAGATGTTATAAGTTATGTGGCTTTTCTGGCTAAGAAAGAGATTATTCTATTATAGGAGTTGATTAGGGAAACCAAAGGAAGGGGCATATGCTCGCAATTTTTTGGCTTGAATTATATGTAAAAACTACACTGACTTTCAAAGTACAAATAAATTTCATATGACTATGGAAAATGCCACATAAAAATACATTTTTATTTTCAAACATGCAATTCAAGGCAAAACAGTTTACTTCAATTGAGTCCATCCATATTTCAGTATATATTTTCAATGAGTTCTTCAACTTGTTAAGAACAGAACATAAACACATTTCAATGCTTTTCCTCAAATACGATTCTATAGTAAACATATTTTTGCAATAATAATCATGCTTTTCAAATTCATAACATTTTTCATAGAAATGTATAATGTAATACTTAAAGAATGTATCAAGTCCCAACAATAAACAAGGTTCATTTACATCCTCCTAAAAGGCTTTCAGAGTGTGCATCAAATGACTCCCGAAAGAGAGTATTTCTCAGTACTACTCCCCAGTGCTCTGCTTAATTCATAAGCATTCCACTGAAGGCTTACAACTCAATGGTCAGTAGCTAACAAGCAGTTCAAAACAGCCTTTTATCCCATGCCAAGAAATCAAAATTTTTTTAGATGTGGAAGGGATACAACTATGCACTTAGGATAATAGCTCCTCACATTTCTGGCTGGCTCTGGCCGCCTCCCCGATGCCCTCCACTGGAGCTGTATGGTTGTGCACACGGAGGAAGGATATTTTCCCAGCTGTTAAAAATTATAAGGGACATATAACTGGAGACAATGTCTCCAGACATTATAAATGCCGCTCTCTAAATATTAGAGAACTGGAATCAATGAATTATATATTATCTTTGAATTAGTATATCCCATATGAATGTTTGTATAATGAAATATGTCATGATAAACCATGAGTAAAAAATACTTTCTGAAAATCACATATTTAGGTTGAAGTGGCATTTTCCTTGGCATGCATTGTCCTAAGGAATGATCTGTTACAGAATGAATTACAAGAAAATGAAGGATTTAAGTATGCCGATATCCTTTATCTTCTTCACTCACCAGATAAGGTATTATCTTTATAAAGTGTTAGAGCTCATGTAGAAAGGATTTTAGACCACACTGTCAAATTATAAGTGTTTCACAGCAGTACTTAAATATATTACATAAGAAATGTAAAATCTCTTTGGTAGGTCATTAGTTTGTAATGATGAAATAATACTGTTCCATATTTTTCATAGCTGTCATATTCTTTGAAATGTAGCAGTTTTAATGCTCGAAGAACCAATAAATCTGTTCTGTTCTGGATGTGTTGAAACTTTTTCCTAATTTTATGACCTTTCAACTCTCAGTCGTCCATTTCTTACCCAGTATTCCAGAGTGTTGCTTCTCAAACTGTGCGATGAAGGAAAGCTCTTCCCCAGCAATGTTATGGGGAGGTTACGGTGACTAACATAACATAATAAAATTAAACTAAATTAAAAACAAATTACATCAAAAACTAATGATGTACTATATGTTGGCTAACTGACCATAATAATAAAAAATAAACAACATAAAAACAAAAACAAAAACTTTAAATTTTGAAATAATTTAAGATTTTCCAAAATTTTGCAAAAATAGCATGGAGTGTTCTAGCATATCCTTTATCCAGCTTTCCTGGATATCAAAAAGGAAATTAACATCGATACCATACAATTAACTAATCTGCAAGTTTTATCTAAGTTTTGCCAATTTTCTCACCAATGTCCTTTTTCTCTACCGGAATCCAATCCAGGATCTCCTATTACATCTAGTTGTTATGTCCCTTTAGTTTCCTTCAATATGTGAAACACCATTCTTTGTCTTTCATGATTTTCATGTCTTCCATGATTTTGACATTTTTGATGAGTCCATGCCAGTTACTTCATAGAATGTCCATCAATTGAATTGTCTGATGTTTTCTCATGATTAAATTGAGGTGGTGCATTTTGGCAAGAATACCACAGAAATGATGTGTCTTCTTTACTCACCTGCTCAGTGCATTATTTCAGGAGGTACATACTGCTGTTACATCTTATAACTGGCAGTGCTTTGATTACTTGGTTAACGTACTGTCATATTTCTCCACTGTAAAGTCACTGTACTTTCCTTTTTTAATTAACAAGTTTCTTGAGGTGAGACACTTTGAGCCCATGCAAATAATTCTGTTTTGCATGCACTTTTGCTCACCAATTTAGCATCCACGGATGCAACAATGATTACATGGTATTTGCCTAATGGCAATTTTTAAACAAATTCTTTCTTCTTTCTTTTTTTAAAATCAAGTTTTTATTTAAATTCCACTTAGTTCATACAGTGTAATATTAGTTTCAGGTGTACAATTTAGTGATTCAACACTTACATATGACGCCTGGTGCTCATCACAAGTGCCTTCCTTAATCCCCATCACCCATTGAACCCAGCCTCCCATTCCCTGCAGTCTGGTAACCACATTTGTTCCCTATAGTTAAGAGTCTATGTCTTGCTTTTCTTCTCTTCCCCCACCCTGTTTGTTTGTTTTGTTTCTTAAATTCCACATATGAGTGAAATCATATGATATTTATCTTTCTATGACTTATTTCACTTAGCATAACACACTCTAGCTCCATCCACGGCATTACAAATGGCAAGATTTCATTCTTTTTGATGGCTGAGTAATATTCCATTGTAAATATATACCATATCTTCTTTATCCATTCATCAGTCAATGGACAATTGGGCTCTTTCCATAATTTGGCTATTGTTGATAATGCTGCTATAAACATCTTCTTCTTTGTATATTAATTGGTAATTAACTATAAGGAAGAGCTATTCCTTTTATTTATTTTTTAAGATTTTATTTATTTATTTGTCAGAGAGAGAGAATGCACAGGCAGGGGGAGCGGCAAGCAGAGACAGAAGCAGGCTCCTTGCCGAGCCAGGAGCCCAATGCGGGGCTCAATCCCAGGACCCTGGGATCATGACCTGAGCCGAAGGCCGAGGCTTAACCAACTGAGCCACCCAGGAGTCCCAAAACTGTTCCTTTTAAATGCTAATTCCCAGTTTCTGTAATCCTGTTGCCAACCATTTTGTGGACTGGTCCATGGGCCACACTTTGAATAGCACTAACCCCAGAGAAATTTGAGAACTTTTGTTGTCTGCAGTGCATCAGCAATCAGGGAAGAAAACTGCCAACTATCTCCGTCAGTTCTGTTCTGGGGGATTTGGAAGGAAGAAAGGAGGGCTAAAAGGGGAGAAATGAACTCACTGCATAATTTTTTTTTAAATTTAGAATTGTACTCTACTGTAGTATATGAAAAAATGGAGATGTGCTGCTGTAATAATATGAGGAATATAGGGTGAGGAGACTGAATTTGGGTCTAACTCCCTAAGCCACCTTTCTTCTCTCTCTCTGTTCATTCCACATTTTATTCTCAGGGACATCCTTCTTTTTCTTCTACTAATTTTTCCCCTAATCATTATCCTTTTCTTCCCAGCCTATTTCCACCTACTTCACTTACTGCACCCTATTTCTTTGTGTATTCCTAATACCTTTCTTCTTGCTTTATGATCAGGTGACTACTTGTGTGTACATAATTTTTATTATGGAACATTTCAAACATATATAGAATAAAGGAGTAGCATAATGAACTTAAATATTTCAGTGACCCAGCTTCCATAATTATCAATTCATGGCCAGTCTTATTTCATCTATATACCCACTTGCTCTTCCTATATTATTATTATTTTTTAAAGATTTATTTGAGAGATAGAGAGAGATAGAAAGTGGGCACATGCATGAGAGGTGGAGAGGGGCATAGGGAGAGAGAAGCTCAAGCAGACTCCCCGCTGAGCATGGAGTCCCTGTGGGGCTAGATCTCACAACACTGAGATCATGACCTAAGCCAAAACCAAGAGTCAGAGGCCCAACCGACTGAGCCACCTAGGAGCCCCTCATCCTATATTACTTTTGAAGCAAATCTCAGGCATCATATAATTTTATTGGTAAATATTTTAGTATGTACATATAGCACTTTTATATAATGATTAACAGGGGCAGAAGAAAACTCACAAGATTAATGGTTCTTTCTGTACTATACTGTTCAAACAAAATATTAAAAGTAAGATTAGTGATAAAATTCTTTTTGGTCTTTCTGGAAGATCTACCATATTTGTTCATCTTTGGCAAATGAACTGACTCTAAGGAAGAACTGGCTTTTGCTCTGTTTGTGAAATCCCAGAATGTTAAAATGTGACTTTTAAATCATTTTTCTTTTTATTTCCCCTTAGGATATAGTACAGAATTTTACAAATGAGCTTATTTTAAGAGATGATAGAGATCATCCCACAATGCATAAAATATAATATATAGCATGCTATACAAGGGAAGTTTTGACTTATCAAGTCTACTTTGAAGTGTTGAAATGAAAATAAAAATAAAAATATGTTAAAACAAAAAAGTTGAGGGTTAATGAAATTATGGAATTTCCTGTTACTATTTAGATATTTATTTGCATAATCATTAACCTAACATTCCCTCTGAAAATTAAAATTACTTCTCTTTTCTTCTCCCTGATATCACAACCTACTTCTCTATTTTATCTGTTCAATAACATTCTAGGTTAACTCTATTACCTATTTTCCCCAATAATGTCAAATTTTACTCCCAGAGATAAGAATGCAATATATTTAGATGGGCAAGAACTCAAAATCTATTACGTTGAGTAACATAACAGATGAACTAAGTTAAAGATAATGCATGTTTCTCCTATTTATAGGATATTTGTTTAAGGGCAGGCTATGCATTAACCCTTTTTGCCTTCAATAATCGCCTTCAACAATACTTAATTTTGGAAAGTGGAATAATGACCATATCAATCTTTGAGCCTTTTCTTGAATCAACAATTGAAACTGAGAAGGCAATGGCAGCATTTCAGGTACAAAATTGGAAGTTAAAACTTCAATAAGTATGTCTTTTTAGTCAAAACTTAAAAACGAGAAAAAATTTTTATCTGGAAGAGTGTTTACCAATTTGTAAAATTCAGTATTTTTCACACCAGCCCTTTCTACCTCAAAAAAACCCCCATTATTTATGAGGATATCTTCATTTATATATAATTTTACAAGTTACAAGGCACTTTTTGCCTCTATACTTTATTTGATGCTTATAACAACCCTGTCAGGTTGATGGGCAGATAGTACCATTTTCATCATCCCCATATTATAGGCAGAGAAACAAGGCAGTATACAAGACAAGTTTTCTAACTGCAGATTTTTAGCTGATCACACTGATTCTATCTGGGTGCTTCTTTTTCTATCCAATGACCTTTAGGAGAACTATTTTCTATGAACCCATACTTCAAGGATGTAAAAGCTACAAATATTGTAGGAAGAATACAGTGGCCTGCCATGTTCACCACAGTGATCAGATAGTGACAACTACTCTGATTCAAACCCCTGCCACTTGGTTTTCTTCTACTGGTTCATACCAAATTATTCCCTTTGCCTTCCTGAGAAATACCAAAAAACAAAAGCTTAATTAGAGAAGCAGAGTAGAAAACATTCAATGATTCCATGCTTTTTTTTTTTCAGATTATTATCTTAGCGAAAGTCATTATAGATGTGGACCATATTACTTTGTCTGCAAGAGGTGTTACTATTTTAGTTGATAGTCTGTATTCAGTTCATTCCACTACTATTGTCTTGACAGGTAAGAAATAACTGGAAGGTGGTTACATAAAACTACATCTGCATATAACTATTTTCAAAAAAGTTTTGTAATCTGAACAATAATAAAATAAGCTTGATACTATGTTACATGGTTTGAAGAATGAACGGGTTTAAGTCTACATGGGACAGTGTGAGGCTACTCTGTACCCCAGATAGAAGCCGGGTAACTCTGAACATGGCCTTTTTGATTTCCTAGTTACTTTTTCAACCCCCTAATTATTTTTTCGAGAATATAAAATGAGACTCCAACTCTGAGTTACTAACCAGAAAATCTACACACTGATTTATAACAGTAATGGCAGACTTATACTGTTATACCTCTGTCTGGTTTTCTTTTGATCAACTTCACATTTTGCTAACATTTAAGAGTTCCTTATGTTGCTATGCAATATAGCAAAGCAAAATAGTCCAATAGAGTTCTTGGCACCTTAATGCTAATAGTGTAACTATATCTACTTTAGAGCTAATTTTCAAGATGAATAATAAGGTAACTGACTTGATATATCACTCTCAACACAAAATGAAACAGTATCAGAATGACAACCACATGAAGTGCCTACTACCAAAAAATAAATAAGGTCTTTGTTTTTTAACTGAAATGCATCACTGAAGGTAGGAAAGGAAATTACACTTGCTGCTACAGAATTGTATTTTTGCTTGGCATGGAAGGAAAATTCATGCAAATGAAAACTTTCTGATGAAAACTAGCTAGGAAAGAAACACGTTTAAATTATTAAATACATTCTTATTTAAATAGCATTCTTAATTCAAGTCATAGTAATTCTGCGACTCTGAAAAACAGTCGTAGTGGGTTTAAATTTTACTCCACAAACTCTTGTGTGCAAGAAATACTATATTATACTAGCTTTCAAATATTAATTTTCTCAGGTTGGTTGGAATTGAATCTCAAAAATTTCTGGGCTTTCTTAGTCCATATGCATTCAGTCATACGCATCTCCAGAGTCATGTGCATGTCTGGGGTATCTCAAGCAAAGCAAGATATTTGGGCCTCAGATATAATGTAAAATAAGTGTGCCAAATGTCTAAGTTGACAAGGTTCCCAGAAGAGGCTCCAAAGGCACGGAAGTTTTACAAAGACTAGGATTTCTGTTGCCAAGTGTCCAGTTTTCCTATGTGCACCACATAACCATTCTCCACACACAGCTCCTGTTCCTACTATCTCCTTCTTAATCTTAGATCCTCTGCCTGCCTCCATTGTTCCCCATTTCTTACTCCTCCTCTTTAAAGACACCTCTCTCCCTTTCACCTAAAATAATGCCTTCTATAAACATAAGCTTTTAAAATTATATGCCTGAAAAAAAGGTTATTTTTAGACATTTTTTGCTTTAAGCCATACAATCCATCCCTCCCCATCCTGAAACAATAAATACAAAGACCTTGGTTTATAAAGAAGGCCAGAAAAAAAAAAATACAAGAAAAAAACCCCAATGAATACCTCAATAAAGTATCCATCCACATTTATATGGGTGGATACATTTATATTTTAAAATGTGTTGCACTTATTCCAACCAACAACAATATTGTGAAAGAATATCATATGAAAGCTCTAAAAATAAAACACATATTCGAATGAAATTGTTTTAAACTGATAATTGCATATATATTTAATTACTGAATTACTTTATTATTTTCCATCTCCAAACATTTCTTTTTATGGCACAAACGTCAAAAACTTTAAGTAATACATTGTTTGGGTTTAAAATACCATTAAGCTCTTAACTCAAAGCAATCTGAACTGCAAAAAGGACATACTAAATTTCTTTTATGGTAGTTCAATCATTATGTTCACAGTCATTAAAAAAACACTAAAGCTCAAAACAAAATATATTCTGAAGCCACAGGGAAGAAAAATTCTGATTTCCAAAATTCCCTACCCTTAAATAACTTTTACTGTTTGTGACAGAAAACCAAATCACAATTTTGGGGAAAGAATTCTACAATTAATATATACATGCTTTTTCTCAGCTCTTCTTCATTAACAGAGATGTCTTGTGACTCAACCCTTTTTAATAATATGTGCAAATGAACAAAAGTACAGTATATAAGTTACATCAATTAAGTAACACAAACTTTTTTCTTGTTTAATTTACAGGGAATTTAATAGCTAGCCTGGCTCATTCTAGAGCTGGTATCCCGGAAGCATTTACCACGTTAGGGACAATCCAACGGCTCTGCTATCATTTGTATTCTGGAAACGAAGAGGTAAAACCAAAAGTAATTCTATAATTGAATATTCTAAAAATGTAATTGCCTCTCACTTTTGTGGGCTACTTTCTCTACAGGTTAACTATGTTATATAATAGTTCATGTTACTGACTCAAAATTAGATGATTTTTCTAGTATTACATCTGCCATCCATAATTTTGGTTCCCACAAAATGTGCACATTTGTTTTAACTTCAGTACTTAAGATTCAATATACAAATCAGTACATTGATGATATAGAAATTTATAATTAATTTATAAAATGTCTCACAAAAACTGGTTACTAACTTAGTAACTAACCAGTTTTTGTGATCGAAGTCATTTCTAGGATTATTTGGAATGCATGAAAGTGGAATCCATTGGACAGTTTTATCTGCCAAGCAGGATCAGGGGTGACAGTATGAAGAAGGCCAGGGTAGTGGTTTGCCTCTGAGTTTTCCCCTCCCCCTCCCCCAGGTGTAAGGCAGTGTTTCTCCAACTGCAGGGGACGCAGGAATCACCTGGAGGGCTTGTTCCGCCATAGATTGCTGGGCTCCATTCTCAGCATTTCTTATTGAATACATTTGGTTTAGGCCCTAAAATGGGTGTTTCTAGCCAGTTCCTAGAAGCTGAAGCTGCTGGTATCGGGACTATACACTGAGAGCCAGTGTTCAAGGTATGGTAGATATATGGGCATATGCAGCAGTCAGATGCCAGTGGTGAGACTAGCATATCAGCCCTCTAGTACCCTGCATGGGCCTGGCTTATATTCATTCTATGACATTTCTTAGGCCACCACTAACAGATTTTCTAAGAACTGCCCAGGAATATGCTTTAATCATATGAACAACCTAATTACTTCAGGGTCACAGGCAGAGGGTATTTTTTCTGGAGTCCTGTGGCTGATACTTTGTTTTTGCCAGTGGAAAACTGAATTGCTTTCCTGAGTGTCTTTTTAACTTACTTTTATCCTGTAGCCTCTTACCTGTTTTCCTATTACAATCAACTGAGCAGTTTTGAAAAATGCCAGTGTCCAGGCTGCACCCCAAAAGACTTAGAGTTTCTAGGGGTGGAACCCTGGCACTCAGTAATTTTCGTAACTATCAAGGGGATTCCAATGCACAATCAAGACTGAGACCCACTGTCCTAGCTCAAACTCGATGGTTCTTACTCTAGCTGCAGATTAGAGTCACCTGTGGCACTTTTAAAAACAATATGAATGCCCAGATTCTACCCCCAAGAAAGTTGATGGGCTTTTTTTTTTTTTTTTTTTTAACTGCTGGTGACTCTAAAACGCAGTCAGGACTGAGAACAACTACTAGAAACCAATGGCAGTTGACAGCTTTCTCTAAAACTATGGCAGTTCTGCTTCCATCTACAGATTGCCACTGGTTGACCTAAATGTTTGCTCTGCAGAGCTACAGAGACTGTCTTATGAAATGTTTAGTGAGAACACTTTGTTAAGATATTTTAAGACTAAAGCTCGACGGAGGAATTGTTTCTTCATTTAGGTTCGCACAGCTTGCTCCTGTGCTCTTGGCTACTTAACTTACAATGCAAATGCTTTCCGCATTCTATTAAAGGAATGCAGAAATAAGCCTAACCAGTTCCTTCGTATAACAAATAATATCAACAGAGATGCAAGTATTAACCCAGCATTTTTAAAGGAATTTCAAATGCAGCAACGAGTGGGACTTCCTTCCTTAAGGTATTGTGCCTATATTTGTGAAGTTGCAGTAGTGAAATTATCAATAGAGGAACTTGTAAGAAAGTTTACCGAAGACTGGGGTGCGTGGGTGGCTCAGTCGTTAAGCGTCTGCCTTCGGCTCAGGTCATGATCCCGGGGTCCTAGGATCAAGCCCCACATCAGGCTCCTTGCTCAGTGGCGAGCCTGCTTCTCCCTCTCCCACTCCCCCTGCTTGTGTTCCCTCTCTTGCTGTGTCTCTCTCTGTCAAAATAAAATAAAATCTTTAAAAAATAAAAAAGTTTAAGGAAGACCAAACAAGGGGAGCTATTCCTGATAATGAATGAATATATGCCTCGGATTTGAAGAGAGAAAATTCCTCCTAAATGTCCACTGCCAAAGCCTGTTTTAATTCTGATTTAGCAACAAAACTGCTTGTGGAGGCAAGAATACAACCAGATCTTGGGGATCCCGTTTGGCCAAGATTATTCACGTTTCAGAAAAGCTTTTTGGGATTTTGGTTGCTTCCAAGTCTGATCCGGGAAACCATTTTTGGGATATACTTGAGAGTCCCGAGCCAACCAGGAATACCACCATGACCTTGGCATCATCAAAAAATGTTCAAAAGACCTTTGAACTTCATTCAAAGCTAGGCCAGACTCCCAGGGTAGAAATAGGGCTAAATTAGACCCAGTGGCTTCAGTTATGGCAAAGTATGACAGGCATTTATTTATCCAGAGGATTTTGTTTCAGTGCTGGGGTTTCATCAGAGCTTAAGTTTCTGCAAACGGAGAGGAGAATCTCTTTAGAATGGGCATATTTTCTTTAGTCAATGTAGCTGAATTTAAGTCTTCTCTGCAACTAGCACTATTTGTGTAGGAAACAGAACTACTCAAGATACAATATTAACTCGGGGCGCCTGGGTGGCTCAGTCGTTAAGCCTCTGTCTGCCTTTGGCTCAGGTCATGGTCCCAGGGTCCTGAGATCGAGCCCCACATTGGACTCCCTGCTAAGCAGGAAGCCTGCTTCTCCCTCTCCCACTTCCCCTGCTTCTGTTCCCTCTCTCGCTGTGTCTCTCTGTCAAATAAATAAAATCTTAAAAAAAAAGGATACAATATTAACTCTATGATAATAGAAGACACTAGGATCCAATACTGTATCATGGTTCTGTAAATCAATTTCAGTATAGAGAAAAATGAGTAAATCTTCATTTTAATTCTTGGAAAAACCAAAAACGCAAAACTGATTACCTCATTTTATGTAATAAAACAGGGAACTCTAAATTAAGTTCCTGTAATTGACAGTGTTAAATAATATTTACTGGTTAAAAAATTAATTTAGGATAAATAATGAAAAGTATTATTTTACACAATTACTCCGACAACCAGCCCATATGGCAACTTTTCGGGAATTAGAGAAAGATGCCCTTTCCTCAAGACACTTCACTGTCAACTGCTGAAAAATAGGTGTAATAACTATACAAATCTACAATGACTGAGGGTGAATGGCACCCCCTGGAATTGTGAACACTCAACTTTTAGGACTGTAAGCAGTGACCAGTGCTCAGTAAACTTGTAAGAATGGTTACCAGGTGAGGTGGAACTGGTAAGCAAATAATAATTACTCCCATAACTAATAGTGTTATGAACTCTTCTTAGAGTTTTTACACGGACCATTCCCTTTAATTTTCATAACCATTCAGTGAAGGAGTTTGATTAAATGAAACTATGGGAAATGTGCTAAAAGATTATTAAGACCTGTTTGGAAACTGTGGCATGGATAACAATACCCTTCCACGAAATGTTCCTTGATACCACTACTTGCAAGTACACTGGATTGTGGTTGGGATCATGATAGCATTTTCTTGGTGCATATACCACTCCTCTATTCCCATTCCCCCATCCAGCTCCAAGAATAGCAGAGTAGAAGAGTCCTTGGATATGCAAATTTTGAAGTATGGAGAAAGACATAATTTTACTGGTGTTAACTGACCCTGTATGAAAGCACTCAGCCTAAATGCTAGCTAGTTTCATGTTACCCTTTGGCCATGAAGTTGGTATATGGAGAGACTGAAGTCTATGCCTCATTAAAGTGGACAACAGCAAATGTTCCTCATCAAATTAACCAGCTATACATTTGTGATAACCACCTTTAATATATTAACTTTAAGTGAGACTTAAATTTTATTACCAGGGAAATTTTGTAATTTTGTAACTATATTATGTTACATGTACCGGATGATGATTTAAAATAATAGTGCTTTTATAAAGCCACCCACCCACCCACCCATATGGTGTGTGTGTTGGGGTAACAACACACACACCACATTAACTAGGTACACTTGTTATTCTTTGCCTTTAAACACTTCATTGGTAAACCACTGCTTTGAAAATAAAGTTTTGTGATCAATATGTTTTCCTTTTAGTCTAGAGAAAAATGGAGGACCATCCGTAATTCCTGTCTTTAAAAAAGGTAATTTTTCTTTGGCCTCTAAGGTAACTTCTAGCCCTGACACCTTACAATTCTGGGTTCAATTTCTAAAAATTCAAAATGTAGAGGTTACCCCCCAAAAAATGTACCTGTAAACTCTGCTTTTGTCATTCTGTATACTTAAAATATCTTCCTATTTACAAGACTACGTTAATCATTTCTTTTAAGACCTTCCCTACCATATCACTTAACAGAAATTCCTCTCTTACTTTGTTTTTTCTTATAAGCTATACAGAGAAATAGGTCATTATTGAAACAACATATAGGTATGGCCTAAATTACGATCTTGCTATTATTTTGTTTCGTGTACAACTTGTCTGTAAGTTCTTAGGGTAGAGACCACATTTTCTCCACTGATACACTACAGTTTTATATATATTTGGTAGATGTTGGCTGAGTGATTTTAGGTCTGCAAGGTCAGAGTCCAGAACTTATAAAGTTACTCATTAGTTCCTATTAGACATGTAATAGGGAAAATAAAAGATTTTTTGACTTAATTTATATGCTTATTGCTTATTCCCGTGTGCTTAGTGTAGGACCAATATGAGTCTTACTTGGTGTATTATCCTATAGTCAAAAGCAAGGATAGAACCATTCAAAAGCCAAGTCCGTTTGTAAGAGTCACAAATGGAAAGGGAGAGAATAAAAGAAGAGAGAACTTCACTTATTCAGGGAGTCTCTGAGAAAAGCTAGGTTTGTGTGGGAGGCTGTATATATGAATATTATGAGTAGAAGAATATTTTTTGTATAGCTTCTTTAGTGTAAGTTAATTTACACAAAGGAATAAAGTCAGTCCCATTTTTTTCTTCACTTTAATATTGTTTTCTTGTTTTGTTTTTCAATATTGGTTTCTAAATAGCAATCTGTGTACCAATGGTTTCTAAATAGCAATCTCTGCACCACTAACGGTCTGATAATGTTTTCACAGGTTTATGGTAACATAAGAAAAAATAAGGACACTATAGTAAGTTTCTGATAAAGTTAGTTTTTCATTCAATATATAAAATGTGTCATTTTGAGATAGTACCTTTTATACTTTCTCTTGGGTGTTAGGATATCCCTACTTTTACAAAATGACATTGGCATTTATTCTTTTATTAGTCTCAACTTGGCATAATAAAAAGTTGGCAACCATATACTGGCCCCACAAATGTTTGCCCTTGACATCTAAAAGTCTGGAAGGTATGGATCCATTCTCTTAGTATGTTTTAGTGATTTGAAGAAAATAGCACTATACAGAACCAAAAGCAATGAGACTATATCTAGGGCTCTTGGGCTTACGAAAGAGACATTTAATTGTGGCTCTCTAATTTTCAGGAAAAGAGCACCGAAGAAAATTAAAACCTAAAATTCAACCAAGAGATTCTTTGACTTTAATACCTCCTGCAACTAACTTCATGGGACTCTTCAAAACAACAAAACAAACCCCTGTTTCTCACAATATTTTTTCCTTTTCATCTGCAATTTCATCAGATATCATAGAAGTATCAAGACCAAGAATAGTGTTTTTGAGCCAACTTGGGAAACATGTACAGAAAGCTAACCCAGAGCCTGCAGAAGGCTAATAAAAGCATTAATATGAAATTATAAAAGAATTCCTGAGCACCCTTTTTAAATTCTTTACTTTTTTTAAAAGAATTCTTAAGTAATCTCTATATTCAATGTGGGCCTCCAACTCACAACCCTAAGATCAAGAGTCACATGCTCTACAGACTGAGCCAGCCAGGCACCCCCCAATTTTTTACTTTTAATTTTAATCTAATTCTAGTAAAATACATATAACTGACTATAAACATTTGAATGGAAGTTCTTGATATTGATACTTAACAGATTTTCTCTAGCCTGTCTACTGAAGTTTAACATCAGGTCAGAGTCATAGTTTCAAAAAGTAAATAGAATTTTCTTGCATTTAACACTATTAAAATATAGCAACTGAAAAAAGTGGCATAATTAGTATATCTATATCAAGTGTTAGAAACATTTTTAAATTGGTATGCTGGGCTAAAGAGGCCTGATTCAAAATAGCCCACGTGTTAACACTCACTGTAGTATCTTTAGATATTTAATGATAAATACTACAAATGCACGAGGCTTTTAAAACCCAAAATGTAGAAATGTATACTTTTAAAAGACTTAAAAAAAAAAATCTGAAATCACTGCCCACCAAGTACAAAAGTATGGCTAAAAACTGTGGCTACCAGTGTTGACCATTTTCCATACTTACAAGTATTTTTGGTTTACAGCTGGAAAGTGTGACACTCCGTGGCTTAGAATCACATGATGTCTTTGCCCAAGGAGTACTGTTTCCAGTAGGTACAAGTTTTGATGTAGGTCGGCCTCTATTTTACAGCAGCAGGTAAATTTGATACAAAGTCAAGCTGGGCTTCACTGTATCCTTTAAAGCCCTCATTTTTCTCTGACCACTTTGCTCTGGGCTACACTGAACATATATATTAACTAGCAGTTATTTTCTCCAACATGCTTTAACAGAAACAATAATGATGGTGGTGATGGCAGGTACAGGTACTTAGGGCTTTCCATGCACCAGAGGCTAGAGCCTAGGATTTTTGCCATTGGACAATAAGCGACCTCTCCAATCTTCAAATTTAATTCTAATTCTGGTGGATGCCCTAATATAGGAACTATGGGGGGAAATGGCTTATTCTATACTACAAAGGGAAAAATAATTCAAATGATAAGAAACTGAGTCATTTATTCAGCACCGTTAAGGATCAGAATTCATATTGATGGAAGTATTAAGCCTCTGCAGATGTAAAACAAAACAAAACAAAACCCTCTAGACGACGAACTTTGAGCTTTGGAACTGGCCTCTGGTGACGTTCAGGGGATTCTTTGTATTCAATAATATAAGACACTTCCTGCGCTTCTTGGCCTACCAAGGCCATCCTACTAGTCCTAAAACTTACAGTATTTTTCCTGAAGTACAGCTCCTCCAGTAAAGATTATTTTTATCATCCTGCATTTTTTTCTTTTTTAAAATTATATATGAGAAAGGCCTCAAGATAGAGGGGATTTCAGCAAATTGCCTGCCTTTTACCTGCACAATTAGCTAACTCGGGTACATATGCTTGCCCATACAGCATTCAGTTTCCTCCCTCCCTTGTCTTTCCCTCCCTCTCTCTTCCTTCCCTTCCCTCCTTCCTTATGGCCAAGCGCTAAAGGCCTACAGATATGGAATGCCTCCCCAAAATGCTCATTTTCTTTATCTGTAGTTTCTCTTATTTATATCATGAACTCAATTTTGACATGTGTGCTTGTAACACCTGTAGCAATTTTGACACTTAAAAATTTTAAGAACATAGATTGTAGATATCCCCATTTTGTAATACTGCGATAGGGGGAAGAAATTTTGGTCCATTTCCTTCCATAGTTTGTATGCACTCTGATTGTGAGAGCCACAGGAAATACTTATATTACTTCTCTGTGAATTCAAGTTCACATGATACAGAACACAAATTTAAATGAAAAGTGTGAATTCACAAACTAAGTTTCTTCTAAATATTTACAACCAATTCTATCATAGCTATACTCAACAGCAAAGAATATAAAGTTTGTTTTTTTAATAAATATTGGCTGTTTCTATATGTTCCCTCATAAATTATATTTTCTATTTCCAAATGGATGATCATAAAGCAATACTCTATGATCACAATTCTTAAAAAAAAAAAAATTACTTATGGAATTCACCCCAAAAGGAGGTCACCTTAAGGCAGTATTAAAATAAGAAATCTTTTCAGTCTAGATTTTTATCCTTACCCTCTATTTTCTCAATAAAGCAAGTTATTGACTAGAAAATTAACAACTTGGTCCAGTATGGATGATGTAATATTACTCTTTACTGGTAAAATCTCTCAAAGGACATTAAAGTCAGTAGCATTGTTTTTATATTCAAAGGACAATACATTCAGTTACTTTAGGCAGAAAAAAAAGTGATAAATGGGTATAAAGCTTCCGATTCAAAGGAAATTATCCAAACACAAAACCAAAAACCTTCACATCTCATATATTTTCATTGATTAAATACAATTTCTAAAATAATGGATGTAAACATACGTGGTCAACTAAAAAGTACAATACACACTTGAAGGATTACTTGCCTGTCCTATTTCTTAAAATCTCAGATGGATTTTAAGAAATGTATAGACATCCCAATTGCTCCAGGGAAGATGACACCTAGTAACATATATTTTTATAATTAATAACATGCATTCTGTTAGAGACAGTCACTCTTTGTCTTCATTTAGAGTTCTCTGATTTGACATGACTTTGACCTGGCTACCTTTCTAAACTTGCTCTCTCATTATAAAAGTTAGGCTAATGTTTCAAAAGGAGCTAAAAAAAATAGCTTCTGCTGATAACCACCAGTTTCCCAGGGGGAGGTAGGTGGAGGGGTATAAGAGAAATAAGTGAAGGGGATTAAGAAGTACAAACTTCCAGTTATAAAATAAGTCAGGGGATGAAAACTATAGCAGAAGGAATATAGTCAATAACACTCTAATAACTTTACTTATCGTGGTGTCGTAATACATATAAATGTTGGATCACTATGTTGTACACCTCAAATTAATATAATATTGTATGTCAACTATAATTCAATTAAAAATAAATAAATTTAATAAAATATATAGAATATAATCTAAAAAAACAGCTCTTACAATCCTGATATGAGAAAAAGAGAAAAAGGTCTAGGCCTTTTTAAAATGGAGCCAGGATTTAGCAGATTCACTGTATATCTTCCAAGGTTTTCTTTCTACCTGCCAATATCAGTACTTTCTTTTCCCCCACAAGATGTTTTACTTTAATTTTGATAATAAATCTACACTTCCTTATAAAACTATAACATATTATTATAGTCTCTCAGAAGAGCAGGGGAAACATCAAACATAAAAACAAAAGAAAGTCTTGATGAACAATTAATACTATGTTTCTTCCACAATTTGAAATATAAAAAAAATCACAACTTAATATTGAAATACTACCTTTAGGGATTTTTTTCAAAAGCAAAAATCAAATCTCCATCTTTAACCGTGGTACTTTTATGGCAGCTTCTCCAACTTCTTCTGATATATCTACTCCAAGAGGACATCTGCATCACAATCAGATAAATCACATTATCTCAAATACTTGCTTCCTGATCTGTCGCTAGGCAGACTTGTTTGCTTAAATTCTGACAACGGTTCCTATCTTGTGTACAATCATCTGTGATGATGGTTCTCAAATACAAACACAGCAGGGATAATGGGTGAAGAGAAGGCCAGTCTCATTAATAAATCTAAATTTTGGTATTTGTTTTAACTACTTTGAGGTATAATTGACATCTTTAATGTATACAACTCAATGAATTTGAGGATTGAGAAGTTTTTGAAAGAAATAGTTCTGCTCATACTATAAATAAAAACTTAAAAGGAAATAGAAAAATGATAAAAATGCCTTATAATTCTCTACAAAGCCGAAAGCGTACAAACAGTTTACCATACAGCTGAAGTCAAATCTTCATCCACTTCTACTTTAGAAATTCCCCAGGTTTTTATTGATTCTTCTCTGAGATTTCAAAAGCTGGCTTGCTCCTTTTCTACCTTCCTCTGTCACTACTGGCAGGAGACATCTGAGATCCTACTCTCTTTCTCTGTTCTTCCTCCGTAAATAATTTTGGCCTCAGATTTCTGCTTTTTTACAATGTTGCCCAATATATAGCTTCAACTGGACCCTAATCTGGAAAAAGCCATCAACTTCAGCCTCAACACTGTCACAAGAAGGCAACACTGGATCAGACAGTATATTCTACCTGAGGCTAGGCCATCAATATAGGAGATTCCTTCTCCCACTACTAACTAAACTCTGTTTTAGGCTTTGAATTTTATACTGCAACTGGCATAGAGACTATAAAAGGTACCACGTACTTGGGTTCATAGCGGATGCCTTCTGTGTTGTGTAAAACGCCCACGCCAGCACGCAATCTTTCAATACCATTCCTAAATGAGAATCATTTAAATAAAATAAACAGACCAAGATTTAAAGGAAGAAGATATAGCATGATGAAATGGCAAATTATGAGTGAAGCACATACGTCCTGTGCCTTACCATGCAATCATAATGCCATTGTCAGTGCACAGTCTGGGAGGAGGGCACAGCAAAGTGCACTGTGTTGCATTTGTTACAATTTCCAGAGCTTTTCGGATGTATAAGTTACTTGCAACGCCTCCAGATACAACCTGAAGGAATTGAAAAGACCAAAATTAACAAATATTACATATGGCTATGAGCCAAACTGTTAGCTAGACCTGGGGAAGATAACAGCATTATACAATAAGAAAATATCACATTTTAACAAGTGGAGATGGGCAAATGATCAATCTGTATAATAAAAATTTGGAGGAAAAGAAAATCAACAATTTCAATATCAATATACAATGACCACTATAATTTTTTTTTAGATTTATTTATTTATTTTGGCGGGGGGTTGGGGGGGAACAGAAAGAGAGGGAGAGAGAAACCTAAGCGGACTCCACGCTGAGCATGGAGCCTGACCGAGAGCTGGATCTCAGAATCCTGAGTTCACGACCTGAGCTGAAACCAAGAGTCAGACACTTAACCCACTGCACCACCACGAGGAGCCCCGGACCACTATCATTTTTATACATTTTCTTCTAACTTTTTTCTAATTATAATCAAAGTACACCAATATTTTAGACCCTGCCATTTTTATTATAAGCATTTTTCTCATTTTACATTATTCTTAAAAAGCTATTACCTTTGATAGTCACATAATATTCTATTTTGTGACTCTACCATCATTTAAATATTTTCTCATTTTATAATTTTCAAAAGGATGAAGTTTAAGATATAGTTAAACAGGAAGTTTATCAAGGCTTTTATGCAGATTTAAAGGAATTTCATCAAAGGAACATAAATTTGAAGGAAATTAGCTTATTTTTCTAAAAATAATGATAGCAGTTACTGCATCTCATTTCTTATTGTAAATCCACTTTTAAATTCAATGAAAAGATGCAGTCTTGGAGTTTTTTGCCACACAGGCTGTGCAGATATCCCATAAAGCTGCCATACCTGTATAAGAAATGGCTGTTAGTCTTTATTCTGCAAAATTTCATACTTCCAGGCTAGCAAATGACATAAAGACCTTTCGATCCTATGCACAGGATCAATTAAGCTCCTAGAAGAAAAGTAACATACTGTAAAGTGTGAATACTATTGTTAGAGGAGATGACAGAACTTACCAGTACTGCATTACTTTGAGATAACAAGTGTCTCTGCTTGCAAAACAGAATGGCACGGTGAGTTCTTTTTGCAATGTGGCATGCTATGGTGTGCTGTACCGCAGCAGCAATGTGTGCAGCTGAAGACAGGATTTGCCCCTTCTGGATCCCTGCAGAAATAAGCAGGTATTTTTAGGCACAATCCAGGATTACTTATTTTTCCAACTCCCCCAATTAGAAATATACCTTCCTCTTTTTCCTTTTGCATTATTATCTTATCAATAACATGCTGAAGTCCAGAGAAAGAAAAATCACAATTTTTAGCTCGTTGCATGGGAGGTTTGATATCAAAATGCAGTTTATTTCCTTGTTTGGCCAAATGTTCTATAGCCTTCCCACCACTCATGGTGGAGCACTCTGGATGTTTTATCAAAGACAGTCTTCTTGCTACCTATCAAAAACAAAATTTTTTGTAATGAGCCATAAAGCAGCACATTTTGAAAACAAGTTGCAAAGGAAATGAAATTTACTAAAAAAAATTCCAACCAAAAACCAAAATAGAACAAGCCTGGATGAATAAGACATGCTGTGCTTTTACATATGTGGACTATAGTTAGTAGTCAGTAAGGACAGACTCTTGCTCCTTCTCACAGCCTGATCAATAGGGGTCAATCACTGCTTCCCTATCTACTTCTGCTCTTCTATTGGAGATGAAAAATAAGTTTGAAGTTCACAATGACTGCTTAATGATTAGCTTCAAAAATTAGAACTTGTCCATTTCTTCTAATCATTACAGCTGTTGGCAGTAGGCTTTCTGCAGATAGCAGTAGGCTCAGGATTCATAAACAAAGGAAAAAGAAACCTGCTTGGTGGTGGTGTCAGCAATTGTGATGTTCAATCACAAAACTTTGTACATCTCTGGGCGCCTGGGTGGCCCAGTTAGTTAACCAACTTCAGCTCAGGTCATGATCTTGGAGTCCCGAGATCAAGTCCCACATTGGGCTCCCTGCTCAGCGGGGATTCTGCTTCTCCCTCTGACCCTCTCCCCTCTCATGCTCTTCCTCTCTCTCTCACATAAATAAATAAAATCTTAAAAAAAACACACACACACACATAAAACTTTATACATCTTTAATGTCCTTTATTATCTTTATAAACCCTCTTATTTCACATTTTTATAGTACTTTACGTGGCAATTTCTTTCAGATATATTTTTTGATTAAAAACATAACAGCATCTGCAAACTATTTGAGCCTTTATGTACTGATCTAAACCTCTTACCATTTCACTCAAATGGGTAAGAAATCTTTTATAAAACTATGTACTACTTTTCTTTTTTTCTTACTGCGTATATATATATTTTTTCAGTCTATTAATCAGAAATATTTAGATAAATGGCAGTAGGGTATCTATTATTTGACTGAAATAGACATCTTAATAAAAAAGAATGGAGAAATTAATTCTTAAATAATTACCTTGTCAAGCATGTCACCTGGTGCTATGTCCAAAGACTTTCCCAGAAGCAGAAAATCTGAAACTCCTCTAACTAATGCCAATAGACAATGACCTCCAGAAATCAAAAGAACTAAAAAAGGAAATTCTACTTTATTTAACAACCTAATAGTAAGTGCATGAGCCTCCATATGATGAATGGGAATGAAAGGTTTTTTTAACTGGTGTACTAGTTGTAAGCTAAATGATAAGCCTACTCCCAAGCTTAAAGCAAGTCCTGGTTTTACAGTAGTTGCAATTGCTGAGAGTTCACTTGGAGAGACTTTACTGGCAGAGAGAGCTTCTTGCACTATTCGTTGAATATTTTCTCTGTGAAGTTGCTGAGCTACTGGAGGAACAATCCCACCTGTTCTGGAAGAAATAAAAAAACAGCTTTTTCAAGACTGTCAGAGTAAGAAAAGTTTTACATTAGGGCTGAAGGCATGTTTTCAAATTAATTATTTTATAGCCAAATATGTTAGTCAAGTATATTCAAATATGTGTACCTTATAATGCAGCACAGTATAAGAACTTAGTATGCAGTGATTAAGGGTGTAATGTCTGACTTTTCAAAATTGTACACAACAAAATCCTATGGATTGTTGATGAATGGAATCACCACAATAATCTTAAGAAGCATTCTATGGGAGATGTCCTGAACAAGGAAAGGATAGGACAAAACTGGATTTTAGAAAAATTAATCTCTCTGGAGACAGAGAATTTTTATTTTTATTTATTTATTTTTTCAATTAAAAAAATTTTTTTAAGATTTTATTTGTCAGACACAGAGAGAGAGAGAGCACAAGCAGGGGGAGTGGCAGGCAGAGGGAGAAGCAGGCTCCCTGCTGAGCAAGGAGCCTGATGTGGGACTCATCCCAGCACCCTGGGATCATGACCTGAGCCGAAGGCAGACGCTTAACTGATTGAGCCACCCACGTGCCCCTACAGGGAGAATTTTCAAAGAGGTTACTGTAAAAGTATTTGTTTACATCTTAAACTACATGATCATGAAAGAAAGGGACAAGAGAGCCTTGAAAAACTGTTATAACTACTGGATGTAAGGGGAAGGGGGACCAAGGCATCCAAGATGATTCATATATTGAGCTGGAATGACCAGGAGAAAAGCAATACTAACAGAGAAACATGAAGACAGTTTTGTGAAGAAGATGAGTTTATTTTTAAACACACTGCACTTGAGGTCATGGCAGGACAGCAGACAGCTTGCAATCCTGAAATACAGTTGGGAATCTAGTGCTTAGAGCTGATAATTTTGATTTTGGGTCTATGCAGGACCCATGCCAAATGTCAAGAGTAAAGAAGTAGGAGGCAAATTTGCTAGCAAAAAATTTGCCAGCATGTGACTGACTTACAATCAGAGAAGCAGAGCAATAAAATATAGGGTCTGCAAGATACACCTCTCTAATCTCAAAAAAATCTTCAAATATTTGATGCTGTGACTTCTATACACAGAAATGAAAACCTTCAATAGGTGCACTCTATTAATATTTACTTAATAGTTATAATATGCAGGGGCACCTGGGGGGCTCAGTCAGTTAAGTGTCTGCCTTTGGCTCAGACCCTGATCCCAGGGTCCTGGGATGGCGCCCCGAGGCAGGCTCCTTGCTCAGGGGGGAGTCACCTTCTTACTCTCCCTTTGCCCCTCCCCCTGCTCATGCTCTCTGTCCCTCTCTCTGCTCTCTCTCTCAAACAATAAAATCTTTAAAAAAATAGTTATAATATGTATTGTATCAGGCAATGAAGGAAACAATAAAAGAACCTTATTTCAACATTCATATAGTAATACTATTTTCCTTAATTCTTCAAAGCCACTTTTTCTCTTACATTCTTCAACTCTGTTAATGGCCTTCAGCCTTCTAATGACTTGGGTTTCCAGCTTCATCTTTATCTCCTTTCTTTATCTCACTTTCCACAACTAAGTGTATCACCATTCCAACTGCCACCATCAAGTTCAAAAAGCTCTCATTATCTCAGTCTATTCAAAGCCTTCTAATTACAACTTCCTAGAGAGATTTTCTGATCCTTGGAGTCCATTCTACATTGTGTTGCCAGAAAGTAAAGCAAAATGCTGACCCCATAACTCTCTTACTCAAAAGCATTTACTTTCTTGAAATTTGGGTAACTTTAAGTCTAAATCCTCTACCCCCAATTATTTCTTCCTTCTCCCACTTGTCTACCTCCCTTTCTTTTTGTACCTCTTTTATGTATTTTATCTTAAAAGGATTATGCTAGCTAAGCACTCAAAAGAGATGAGTAAGACTATGGCTTTATTCTCAAAAGAATTGATTTGTAAACAGTATGGAGAGTAGGTGATTGAGGGGCTAAAGCTAATAAAAAGTCAGGGAAACCATCTGGCCTCAAGATAGGACACCCCCCCGCCCCCCCGCCAACCCAAGCAGTCCTCTATTAATGCATTTTCCATGCTGTTTTACAATGACTTGCTTACCTGTCTTCTTCACTCGTTTATAACAGACTAGAAGTACAATTGTTACTAATAATAGGTAGCTTTTATTGAGCTCTTGCTACTTGTCAAGAACTGCACTACACGCCTTGGAAGAATTCGCATGTAATCCTCACAACATTAGGAGCTAGTTACCATTACTATCCCTATTTCACATATAAGGAAACCGAGGCACAGAAAACCGTGCAAGGTCTCATAGTTGAACCAGAATGTAAACCTGCTGCTCAGAGACAAGGATTATATATCTTAGTCTTATTTGTACCACGGTGCTTCAAATGTTGCCTGGGAACTGTAGGAATTCAATAAATGCTGAGATGAGCTGTGTAGATGGTACCAGTTTACTTCCTGTGTATTCCTCTCAAGTGACCTATGCACTAACTAAACTGAACGTTTGTCCTGTATTTTATCACCTCTTTGCCTTTGCTATAATGTTTACTCATGCTACAGTATTTTTTTCATCTCCATTCATTGAAGGCCTACCTATTTTCAAGGCCACTGACACCTGCAGTGTATCAGATGCTATGCTGGCTATCAGGCATAGTGTAGTGATTAATACTGATAATTAAGACAGAGCCCATCACCATGGAGTTTAGAGTCTATTGAGGGAAAGACTATATATAAGTAAACAAATGTAAAAATTATCAAAAGGATGATGAAGAAAATAAGCAGGGTGTGGTGATACAGAATAAACATGGTGGGGATACTGAATTTAGATAAAGTGGTCAGGGAAGGCCTTTCTACACAGTCAACATTTACATGTGCAAATGTCCAGGACACTCAGAAATACTGAGTGGAACTGAGGCATGGTAGTAACAGTTATTGTTTGCACCACTTGTTTGATACTTACTTTATGCTGCCTTGTACTGTATGCTGTATGTTTCCTTGTAGGTCTGTATATCATGCCTCAGAGAATGGGTTAAGCTCCTTGAAGGCAAGGACTTACTGGTATTTCACTACACCTTATTAACACTTACCACAGTCCCTTTCATATAGTATGTAACTGTTAGAGGTCTATTCTGTCTCTTCACATATATTATTTCTATTATACTCGCCACAATCCTGTAAGGCAGGTATTATCTTTCCCATTTTACAGATGTGAAAACACAGAGAGGATAAGGAACTTGCCTAAATTCAGTCAACACCAATTGCCTAATTCATAATTCAAATACAGATCTGTGATCTCAAAATACCAACCATTTTCACTATTCAGGTGTTATAAATTGATGGCTTGAAGGCGTATTTGATCTGTATAGCATTTTAATATATTTTGAATTACCAACTAATTTTAAAATCTGGAAATATTACAGTTATATTCTGGATTTCCATTTTCTTTTGAAAATTCTGATGATCAAATAACATAGGGCCTACATTTCTGCATGGCAACAATTGGCTGGAGCTGAGTAGTGACCTCCTCCAGGTATCTTCCACTTTATATCCAGCCCACTTATCTATGTAGCCTGACTAGTGGTCCTCTGCAAACAGATGAGTTTATAAGCTTTGCACCATTTATGCTTTAATACAACAGTGTATTATTATTTAAGTACCAACATGAGTTATATCTATAAATATGAATAGGATTTTTTTTTTCCCCAGTGATTAACACAGGCTAGAGATAGGGCCATGCTCTCCTAGGACTTCAGTTGAGACCATGAAACATACAGGTGTACAAAGAGGAAAAGGCATTACTAAGGGGAAATCATGGATAAATCTTAGAGTTGGGAATGAGCTTAGTTCTTTCTGGCAAGAGGCTCAGTTAAAGTTGGGACCTTATTATGGAGAGCCTTAAAGGCCAGGGTGTAGGGTTTAAGGTTTTCTATAGCAGTTATTAGAAGCTTTTGCACAAAAGAAGAACTTAAGTCCTAAAATTGAACTTTTATATATGATAAATAGAATTATTTCATTTTACTTTTCCCAAAAGTGGGAAATACCAAGATAATGTCTACTTACTTTAAATGAACTTCAGTTTGGGAGTGTATTGCTTCTCCCAAAACATTTCCAGTTTCATCCACCACGGCAGCTGCTGTATCATCACAACTGGTTTCAATTCCCAATACTAGTTTATGAAGAAACAGTTTTCCAGGATAAAAATTAAAACTTCTTAAAAATTCATAAGGTTTCCTTCTTGATGGTTTAGAAAAAACTCCTGCTGTCTTATTCAGTATTAGCATACTTACTCTACAGATAACTCCTAGAAAAGAAATGAAGAAACAAACTAATTATTTGGAACTGACATTAACCACTAACCCATTCAGATAAACAAAATTCCAAAAACTTGATTTATTTTTCAATATAATAGTTTTACAAAATTATAGGAAAGTTTGGTAAAAGCAAAAATTTTTAAAGGCTATAGCAACCTGTGAACATAAATAACAGTGTGAATGAATATAATGCTCTTCAAGGGGGAAAACAAGAAAGTCAGATATAAAATTTTTAGTATTATCATGCTGTTCTTAGCAAACTATTCATTATTTATAAAATAGCTAATAGTTGCATGGATAGTCTTCTGGAAAGTGCTATTTATTTTTGATAGCTAAATTACAACAAAATTGGTTTAAGAAAATTAAATGATAAAGGCAAAACAGAACAGATAAAAATAAATGCATCCCATTTCCTGGAATACCTTTCAAAATAAAATTTAATAATTTGGTTTGAAAACAATTCACATAAAAGACAGAATTTAGTCATCTACTTTGGAAAAAGTGTTCTTGTAAAGCTCATCTTAAAAGAACCACATGTAGACTAAAATGAGTGCAACCTAATACCCATTTTATCCATTAATTACAATTTTTCTAATTCAATCTCCATTTTACCACAGGTTTATTGTAGTAAGGATCTCCCCAAATCCTTTTTTTCTCCTCAAAATAATAGCAGTCCATCACTGAAGCACCCTGGTATCTTCACAATTCCAAGTATCTAATTTCATGCCCCCAAATCACCTGTTCTAGACCTTTCTGGATGCTTACGTAGACCCTTCCCCTACACAGTAACGGACAAAATGGAAAAAAATGAGAGAATACTGGAATTTTTATTGTTCCCCTCTGGCAGAGGGCATCCGGGGATTAGAGTTATAATAAGCAACCTACTTGCGCAGAGGACAGCTGCGGGGAGTGCAGCCCAGACACGCACACTCGGAGAAATAAGATTTGTAGTCACTAAAATCCAGGCAGGGAAGCTTGTGCGAAGCACTTGTCTTTAGGGCTACGAAGGCTCCTAAGTGAACCAGGGAGGGTACTTGGCCAGTGCTAGTCTGTTCTAGGAAGCGAAAGGTTTGTACTGGAATCGCCCTTCCAGGCAGGAGAAAGAACCAGTGAGAGAGGGGGTGAGCAATTTTACCCACCTTCCTCGTGAACGACAGTGGCTAGTACGGGTTTCGTTCCCCTAGCAAAGACGGTCGACTGCGTTTTTACAAGAGCAAGAGAGGCAGGCCGAATCTGTCGCTCCGGAAGTGATGTCATCGACACGGTGCCAGCGTCTCGTCGCCGGCACCTGCTCCTATGGCCCTGGAGGGCGTCACTCTTAACTCAGTACCAAAAAAGCACAAATGCTGTTTTTGTCCGAGATGCAGTGCGTGCACTCATGCGTTTACCTTAGACTTACAGGTAGCAAGACTTTTGCAAGGTCACACGGCTAATGATCGATCTAGCGGAGGCCGAACGTAGATTTGCCTGACTACACAGCGTTAAATTCTAAACACTTGGCTACGTGAAAATTTTGTTTGCCTTTGGCTGGAATTTGGACGCCACTGTGAGGAAAAGATGGTGCAGATTATTCGTCATTCCATTTTAGAGGACCTATGACCAAATCTAAAGGTTGTTACCCGAAATAGCTAATAGTTTCAAAAACAGAATGGAAAGGAGGGACGACGCCACGGACCTAAGTGTACAGGGTTCCGAGGGAACGGAAGCGCTTCCGATCGGACTGTCTGAACCGTCCCTCCCACTTTTTGGAGTAAAGGTGTGGGGCTGGCTCGTTTTTGTGATTAAAAAGGGGAAGGGGCTATGGTATATTCATTTACCATGAAAAAATTATAATATCCTATTTTCGCAATGCATTTCATGGTTTCTGCTTGCTATGTACACAACCTTCAGGAAAATATGTACTCATTCTTGGACCTCCTTCAGTCTTTCCCCCCCCTCTTTCTTTTATTGGTATGTGAACTTGTCATTTGTATAAATAGATTTATCCCAAGTCTTTCTTCTGCTAAAGTCGTGCTAGACTTTAAGGTTTTACTAAGCTTACTAAGCAAGGACTTAATATATGCAAGATTGGTTAAGGCTATCACATAAATCTGTGTCTTGAACGGCATGAAGTTCTTGGTATAGAAGATAAGTAAATCTCGGTCGGAAGTCACAGTTATAGTCTAGTGGTAGATAGAAATATATACATTCATAATTACCAAAATGTTGAGAGTTTTTAGGTGACACATGCTTTCAAAATTTGTGTGACAATAGCAACCATAATTAGCAATTCACTTCCGTTGTGCCAGGTAGTGTTGCAGATTAATTCATTTAATCCTCACTATAATCCCGTGAGGTAATTAGTTACTGTCCTCATTTTACAGATGAGGCAAACGGACCACAGAGTTTGATGATTTGCTGGTCACACAGCTAGTAAACGCAAAGCTAGAAGTTAGACCATCTGGTTCTGGAAACTGTTTCCTTAACTTCTAGAAAATAAAATAACTCATATTTCCCTAGGAAGTGTGTCTGAGCTAAAAAAAAAAGGGGGGGGGAGAAAAATTAAGACCAAAAAGTTAAAAAATAGTTCTCCTGTCCAACTGCGTATGATTAGTTAGAGATTGTTTTCTATTATATGCTGAAATCTAGTCTGACCATAAAATTTTTCACACCTGGCATTTTCTTGCAATTTGGATTATGTTCAGCAAGTGTGTCTCAATACCCTTCTGTGCAAGAATGTGTCAAGAATTATCCCTTTTTTATGTGCTGGTATCATTGGCAGATTCCTCATCCAGGCACGTTTGGCTGGTGTTGAGTCTTAATGCTGCATTATGTGAAACAGCAAAACTCTAGGACACATTAGGAATTTTTATAGATTGATGGCATGTTAGTAGCAGAAAGAAAAGGCACTTATACCAGTACCACATATTTGGCAAGTGAAGGTGTATACATTTTCCATGTTCTTTATTGTACTAGAGGAGAAATTATTGGTGGAAAGGCACTTAACGCTGAGGCCTACCTGGGCTTTCATACAGATCACATTATATGATTTGAATGCCACTGGTGGACATTCTCAAAGAAATATGGCTTAACTACTGTAACTTCCACTTGAATTTAGAATCAAAATATGCTCATTTTGTCTTTGCTATTGCCTGCCTAACTTTCCATTTGTAAGTTTTAGAGGAAAGTAATATATAGAAGAATCTTTACAATAATTTCCTAATTACATCTTACTAAATTGGATTTTATTTTCATTTATTACATATTTATTGGGTTCTTTCCTTTGGGCTACGAACTTCATCAGTTGTTAGGGATAAAAGATAAGATCCACTCCCTATCTTCAAGGAATGGGGTCTAATTACAATACAGCATTATTGAAAGTGTACATTGAGAGTGGGGAGTTGCTTGGGGAAGGTGGTATAGCTTGCCATAGAGGTATCCACAGCTTGGCAGGACCTTGGTGTGATTACTGGCTTTCAACATCTGATTTTCTAGGCTTGAAATTGGTTTATCAGATTTGGAAGTGAATGGACTCTGGGGTGCTGAGTCACACACTTAATCTGCTAAGAAACTGCTTTGTAAAAACCATATACTAAGGTGTTAATTTATGAAAAATATAATGATGAAGGAGGTAGGATACTTAAGCTTGCTGATCCTCACTTTCCCTGTATTGAGCAAATTACAGTGAAAGCCAGATCCAAATTATAATGAGAAGATTGGTAAATATGGAATGGAAGCAAAAGAAATGAGTTTGGTGCTTTAAATGGCTGTTTCAGGCCTGATGCATCTCTTTTCACCTGAGTCACCTGTCTTACGTTCTTCATGGTTTGGATTGTGTTAAAAATACACTTACAATATCTCTTTGATGTAGAAATTGCTTCATTAATGGTAATACTGTCAATTGAGTCTCATCCTTGGAAAATATTTTTTTCATTTGCTGAGCCATTATGCTTATTTTACAAATTTCAGATGATTTTACTGTGGTAAAATATATGCAACAATATTTATCATTTTAACCATTTTTAGGTGTACAGTTTAATGGCATTAAGTTTATTCACACTGTTGTGCAAACATCTTTACCACCCATCTACAAACCTTTTTCATTTTCCCCCACTGAAACTGTACCCATTTAAACACTAATTCATTTCCCCTTCCTGCCAGCCCCTGAAAACTGCCATTATGTCTCTTACTACTCTAGGTACCTCATATAAGTGGGATCATACGATATTTGTCCTTTTGTGACTGGCTTGTTTCACACAGCAATAATGTCAAGGTTCATCCAATGTGGTAGCATATGTCAATTTTTTTTTAAAGTGGAGTAACATCCTATTGTTTGTATATACCACATTTTGTTTATCCATAGACACTTGGGTTTTTTCCACCTTCTAACTATTGTGAATAATGCTTCTATAAACATGGGTTGCACAAATACCTTTTCAAATCCCTGCTTTCACTTCTTTTGGGTATATACCCAGAACTGGAATTGCTGGATCATATGGTAATTATTTAATTTTTGAGGAATTGCCATACCCAGATGATCTTATTTTTCAAGTGTGTGGGGTCTGTATTATTGGCAGGGGAGGGAGAGGGTGAATCTTTTTGTTGCTCCCATATAATCCCCAGGACTGTTAAGTACCATAATAGAAACATAGGACTTGATAATTCATAGGAGGGACAAATTTCTCAAAGCAAGAATCACTGTATCAGGTGATTCTGTATCTGTATCTGTGGTAGGTGGCATACTGGTATTTTCTCAGCAATGCCAGTTATGTCATCTGGCTTCTCTGTTCCTATTTTAAAAATTACATGGGGCGCCTGGGTGGCTCAGTCGTTAAGCGTCTGCCTTCGGCTCAGGTCATGATCCCAGGGTCCTGGGATCGAGCCCCGCATCGGGCTACCTGCTCCGCGGGGAAGCCTGCTTCTCCCTCTCCCACTCCCCCTGCTTGTGTTCCCTCTCTCGCTGTCAAATAAATAAAATCTTAAAAAAAAAAAATTACAACATGGGGGCGCCTGGGTGGCTCAGTTGGTTAAGCGACTGCCTTCAGCTCAGGTCATGATCCTGGAGTCCCAGGATCGAGTCCCGCATCGGGCTCCCTGCTCAGCAGGGAGTCTGCTTCTCCCTCTGACCCTCCCCCCTCTCATGTGCTCTCTCTTTCTCGCTCTCTCAAATGAATAAATAAAATCTTTAAAAAATAAAAAATTACAACATGATGCATACTTTTTTTTTTTTTTTAAAAGACTTTGACAGAGAGAGCACAAGCAGGGGGAGCAGGAGAAGGAGAAGCAGGCTCCCTGCTCAGTGGGACTCAATTCCAGGACCCTGGGATCATGACCCGAGCCAAAGGCAGACACTTAACTGCCTGAGCCACCCAGGCACCCCTTATCTTCTTGATAATACACTCAACATAGTTTTTTGTAAAATCCGGACATTTAAAAAAAATGTTGTCAATAGAAATTTATAACTACATAATTGGAAAGTCAGAAATTTTATATACTGTAAGATTCCTGTCATATTTTTTAGAGTTCACTCTACAGTGTTAATGATGCAGTTTCTTTACTATAGTTCTTATAATTGAGAATTTATTTTTATCAATATAATTATACAGTTAGAGTGAAGAGTCATAGTGATAAACTTGGCCTATCTGCTAAACTTAGAATTATATAGAAATTTAGTGCTACAGGTTGAGTCACTTCCATAATCATTAGTTGATTATCAAAGGCTTGAATGAGTCAAGAAATAGAATAAATTACAATGCTGAATATAGACTCCAAATATATTTCTTTTTTTAAATAATTTTTTATTGTTATGTTAATCACCATATAATACATCATTAGTTTTTGATGTAGTGTTCCATGATTCATTGTTTGTGCATAACACCCAATGCTCCATGCAGAATGTGCCCTCTTTAATACCCATTCACCAAGCTAACCCATCCCCCACTCCCTCCCCTCTAGAACCCTGTTTGTTTTTCAGTTTCTACTAAACTATGTTTTAATTATGAAATGTTTCAGATTATGAAAGTGTCAAGAATACTATAATCAACTTCTGTGAATGCAACACTAATTTAAGAGTAATATTATTACCCAATATAGTTGAAGCCTGCCGTGCACTACATAACTAAGATATTCAGTATTCTAAATTTGAGTTTATAATTCTCATGTGTTCATTTAAAGTGAAATGAAAAACTTTAAACCCCATATAATAAACTACCTGCTGAATCATTTTTAACTGGAACTGAAATTAGGGAGTAAAATAAAAACCTAAGATATTTCATAACTCTTCTTTTTGACATTAGGCAAAATAAGGGAGAGTTTATCTTTGCTATTCTCTTACCTACCTTCCTTCCCTCCCCAGTGCTACTACAAACTTCCTTTTAGATTATTTTACTTAGACCTGTCTTCCCAGTACTGAACCTGTTTACATTTCCTACAGCCACATGTAATATGCATGTAATTGTTTTGAAAATTACTCTGTCTTGTTAGAAGCATTACAAAACTGCATTGGTCTACGCTGGATTGCTACATTGGTCTTCTTCAGGATTAGCATGAGAGCATTTTGGGGCTTATTTACTGATGACATATTAATAAAGGAGATATAATATAGGAGAAATAAATTGCATGACAATTAAGTTTCAATCTAACAAGATGGGGTTCCACAGGAAAAAGAAATCTTAGACTTGGTTTAATAAATCCATTAAGTATATGAAGGGAAAGCCATTATTTAAAGGCACTACATGTTGAAGAGTTGAGGTTTTAGTGACTGTAGGTGAATCAGTGATATGTGGCTGTTAAAATTGCTAAAATCAGACTACATTAAAAAAAAAAAAGGATCCAGAACAAGAGAAGTGGTACCACTGTAATGACATCACATTTTTTCACCTCTTATAGTTAGCTCTAATACTATATAATAATAAACTGCAACTCAGAGCAGAATTACCAGGATAGTAGGAGAAATTTGAAACCGTATCTATGGAAAATGGTGAAGACCCTGGTAATGTTTATTCAGTGCTATTGGTAACAGTTTAAAAAGTTAAACAGTTGAAGAGTTATGTAGAATAAGGATTAGATTTCGGCTTAATGCAAAATAAGTTATAAATTCCATTACAAAAATGCAGCCTTATAAGTCCTCCTTTATTAGCACTAACACAGAACTGAATGGAGGCATGATGGTTAATGAAAATTCAAGGTAAGGTAAGGAGCTGAAATTATATAGTCTTTAAGGTCTTTTCTAACTCTAAGCATCATATAACTCCATAAGGCTAATTCATACAGATATTAGTTAAGGAGATATTGTTATGCCCCTTACGATCTTTATAGTTTAGTAGACCATAGTGCATTAAACCTAAAAATATAGTTCTGGGGCGCCTGGGTGGCTCAGTCGTTAAGCGTCTGCCTTCAGCTCAGGTCATGATCCCAGGGTCCTGGGATCGAGCCCCACATCGGGCTCCTTGCTCGGCGGGAAGCCTGCTTCTTCCTCTGCCACTCTCCCTGCTTGTGTTCCTTCTCTCACTGTCTCTCTCTCCGTCAAATAAATAAATAAAATCTTTAAAAAAAAAAAAAAAATATATATATAGTTCTATGCTTAAGGAAAAAAAAAGGTGGTGGGGGGGGCAGGTCAAAAAGACACAGAAGCCAACTTGGAAATTATCACTGAGAACTTTGACTTCCATTGGCCAAATCTGGAGAACAATTTGAACAAATTAGTAATCATAAAAATGAACTATAAACCAAAGAATATCTGTATGTCCAAAATAATATGATTGAATAAATAAATGAAGAAAAAAAATCTTACTTACAGAATTCCAATAAATAAATGTAGAAGGGAAGAGGGAAGTAGAAAACCACCATGGAACTCCACAGTACTAATTGTTGTAGGGAAAATTCACCAGTGAATGCTAAAATTAGTGGCACTTCTGAACTCATGGCATATTTAGAGACTGCCACTGTTTCCTGATTTGAAATTAGGAGCAATTACAGCACAGCAATTAGTTTTGACCCAAATGATAGTCATTATAGATTTTGTTAAAAAAAAAAAAAAGTTGCTTTTTTCACATTAAATGATATAAACTTGTGAAATTGGGAAGTTTCCATATTTAATACAACCATTCACCCAGGTGTTAAGACCAAAAAAGCATATACCAAATCTGACCACTTCTTAACCACTTCATCATAGCCATTTTTCTCGTCTGAGCTACTGCTTGCCTGTAGTAGTTTCCCAACTATTCTTTCTGCTTCCTATTCTTTTACACTTTATTCTCAACATTAGCCAGTAACCTTTAAAAAAAAAAAAACCAGATCCCTTTAATTTCCTATGTAAAACTATCCAATGGCTTTGTCAAGCTTAGAAGAAAATTTGCTTACTACCTTGGCCAATAGAGCCCTAAAAGATCTAACCCTTTCTATTTCTCTGACCTCATTTTTTACCATTCTCATCCTCCTTTATTATTCCTTTCTAGTCCAAAAATCACCTTAGAAACATTAGGGAAGGCTTTCTGAGGTAGGTTCTCCTTTCACCTGCTTAATTTTTTTTCCCATGGCATTTATCACTACATGAAATAATATGATTTGACTCATTTATTATCTGTTCTCCAATTTGAATGTAAGCTTGTAAAGGAAAAGATTTTGTCTGTCTTACTTACAAACTATAGCCACAATACCTACACCAGACTGGGCCCTCAAATATCTATTGAATAAATATTTTTAAAACATTGAAGGGTGACGAGTGGGGAAAAAAGCAGAAGGCCTGTATTAACAGAAATAGATTTCTGTCTCTGAAGTCTGAAGCAAAAATGTAAGCCTTTAAAATGAAGAAAAGCAAAGGAACATTTTTAACTACCTTAATTTTACAAATTCAGTTGCTTTAAAAAACCTTGAAAAATAAATGTGACATTGCTGACTGAATTTGGAGATTATTTGTAATCTTACATGAAAAAAAAGTTTTATTCAAGTATAGATTACTGGTTTAAAAATACATGGGAAAAGACAAACATACAAAAGCATTATCATACAACTGATTTCTAAACTCAGTACTTCTGAAATACAAAACGATGATCATTACCCCCCAAAAGTCAGTTTATTGAAACAAATTGATTTTTCAGTTGGTCTATAACTCTTTTCACTCAGTTTTGTTTACAAATATTACTGGACTTTTCAGTTTCATCCCATATCAGAACTTTGTTTTTGACATGTTTCCTTCTCCAAGTAGTTATTTCTTGCAATTAATATCACAAGATTTCAATATGGTTGCTGCTTTGGAAAGAGTTACCACTTTGGCTTCATCTACAATAAGATCCATGTATTGAAAGGCAAAACATTAATGGGCAAAATATGGGGATTGAGAGCAGGGGGTGTAAGAAAAGGCAATGTTGTCTTTTACTGCAATCCCACTAAAAAAGACTCCATTATTTACTTGTACTACTGCTACAGAAGCAGTTTCTGCCAGACCACAGGTCGGCTAAAATAGTTGTCCATTTTATGTTTCCTTTTCTAAACAACAGCAGACTTTAACAATTAGATTATCAACCAAATAAGCAGACAGCTTTAAATTACCATATATTTTAACCGTGTGAAATAAATTATTTTCTTAATTGGATTAGCAGCCTTGTGTCTGGAAAGGCAGCAAAACCAACTCTGCTACAAAATTAGAAGGCTGACTCAGAGGCTGTTTATAAGATGCCTGGCTGTCTTATCATCAGTCATGAAGGTGGACTTTCATGAACTCAGTAACTTAATAAATGTAAAAATGACCTCATCCTTCAATACAGTGTTGAGCCAGCAAAACCAAAAATGTACAATCATAAAGTAGGGAATTGCTTTGTATAAAACAAGAGGGAAATATCCTCTTATATACCATAAGAGAAATACATACAGTAATAAAAATGATCTATAATAAACTTGCAAAGAGATGATTCTGGTTTACATGTATGTCTGCTTAAACTGACTGAATGACTGGAAATTTTCTTCTCCTAACATAATGCCCACTTATTATAAGCTAAACTGGTCTTGGTGTCTTATAAATCTCTTATTTCCTTAGATTTATCTACTATACCCTCACTTTACAACCATTTAACTTATAAGCTGGGCCTGCCCAGCTGCCTATAAAGCCTCTCTTCAGAAAGATACCACATGCATTACACAGAGGCATCTTCTAGTAAATATCTGCACTTCAAAACAGCATATGAAGAACCAGCAACTGGCCCTCCAATGTAAATACATCTCATTTCACATTATCATGGAAACGTGCAGTTTACTAACCACTCCTTTCTTACAGAAAACTCAGTAGCTGTAAAAATTTTGTTCCATTCCAAAACATTTCAATACTTATTAATTCCAAAGATCCGAACACCATGTAGCTGTGGCATTTTAGGAATTAGCACACTCAGGAGAGAAGCTGTGTTTAGGATGAAGTGAGTTGGATCATACTTCGTATAGAAACTTGCCAGAAAATATCTGCAGAAATAAAAATTAAAAACATATATAACATGTAAAATCTGTAAAAAATTTAAAGGTAAAAAAGGCCACTGAAACATAAACACCTAAAAGCAGATTCACTTTTGAGCAGTAAAATAAGAGTTTTACAGTTTGGGGCCTAAATTAATTTGGGATTTAAAAATTTATTTAATGGAGGCATATATGCACATTTTGCATTTCTGCAATTATGTTAAATGCATTTAAAAGAATGTGCTTGCGGGGCGCCTGGGTGGCACAGTTGGTTGAGCATCCAGCTCTGAGTTTTGGCTCAGGTCATGATCTCAGTGTTGTGAGATCAAGCCCTGCATCGGGCTCTGCGCTCAGCATGGAGTCTGCTTAGGATTCTCTCTTCCTCTCTCTCTGTCCCTCCTGCTCATGATCTTTCTCTCTCTCCCTAAAATAAATCTTAAAAAAAAAAATGTGTTTGCTACTTAGCATCCTTTAAAGCATAAGTCTTTCAAACTAGGGTTCGTATATTCTCTGAAATGTCAGGTATAGTTTTGTATTTATGTGTATGTTTCTGAAGAGAAGATCCAGATCCAAAGCATCTATCATATTCTCAAACGGTTTTGGGACCGACCAATAGGTTAAAAACTACTGCTATACGAAATAAGTCAATAATCAGAGAAAGACAAGTATCACATGATCTCACTGATATGAGGAATTCTTAATCTTAGGAAACAAACTGAAGGTTGCTGGAGTGGTTAGGGATGGGGTGGCTGGGTGATGGACACTGGGGAGGGTATGTGCTATAGTGAGTGCTGTGAATTGTGTAAGACTGATGAATCACAGACCTGTACCTCTGAAACAAATAATACATTATAGTTAAAAAAAAAAAAAAAAGAAGATAGTAGGAAAGGAAAAATGAAGGGGGGCAAATCGGAGGGGGAGACGAACCATGAGACTATGGACTTTGAGAAACAAACTGAGGGTTTTAGAGGGGAGGGTGGTGAGGGATGGGTTAGCCTGGTGATGGGTATTAAGGAGGGCAGGTATTGAATGGAGCACTGGATGTTATACGCAATGAATCATGGAACACTACATCAAAAACTAATGATGTAATGAATGGTGACTAACATAATAAAATAAAATTTAAAAAAAAACAACTACTGCTATAAAGTTGTGGAAAGGGGGTATTAGTACAATTCTGTATCTTTGAAAGAAGACAAATACTTGATTGCCCTTTTGATGTTCTCATTTTCATATAGTAGCTGAACAGGTGGACAACCAGTTTAACTGGAAAACTGAAAAGACACTGTTGTAAATTTCCAACTACTTTGCTGTAATTGAACATATGTACACATTCAAAGACATTCAACATCTGAGAATTTGTTTTGACAAGCCTAAGCTACCTTTAGGACCATAAATCATCAAGTGAGAATTGTCTAGTTTTACCCAAGGGTACATCAGAGTGCAGCCACATCATCTGGCCACTGAGAGTATCCTAATATAGACAGGATGTAAAGACTAAAACATCATACTTTACTTGATCATAACTAAGAAGTTAGTCTGCATATGGGTGTTTGTCTAATTAGTACTATTAAGAGTATACAGGAAAGTATCCTAATAGCCTTTCCTCTAAGTACTGTCATTCATTTCTAATAAGGGGAGAAAAGCATCTTGTGTAATGTGGTTAGAAAAGAACAGCTATTTTAAGGTATGACTAAAAACATCACAGAGAGCTATATATATCATTTTCAGAATCATCTAAATTGAGGGATTCTGTAATTTTCCACCTATTTCACAAACTATAATCAGAAAATACTTCTGGAGAATAAACCATATTCTTCAATCTTTTGTCTAAATTCTTTCTTCCAACTTTCATATACCTGAAGACTGTTTTTATACTTCCTTCACTGAACAAAATAGGATACCACTTGCATTTAGTAAGCTCACTTGATTTCCCATAATCATTGTGGGATTAATGTATAACCTGATTATGTTGGAAACAGATCTTCTTGGAACTGCTTCTCGTCATACTGTAACATATGTCCCCCTTTATGTCTTTTTAATAAAAACTAACTTTATGTGTAAATTATACGAAAATTACTTGGTTCTTACAAAACCCTGACAACCCTCCAAGGGGATGCAAAACCAAGGTGGGAATTGTGTAATTGCCAGTTGCCAAATTTCCATTTGCCAATTTCCAGTAGTCAAAGGGTATACTGGAAAGAGACCTGTATTGAAGTTTAGGATTTCATCTGGGCTCTGGACTCTAACTAGATGCAAGATCTGAAATAAGGTAATGCATTTCAGCCTGTTTCTTTATCTAAAAATCTGGGATAACATTGCATGCCCCACCTACCTGACAAATGATGATCAAATAAGAAAATGTGAAAGCACTCTGAAAAGTATCAATATTATATAGATGATTTTAATGTTGTTTCTTCAGTTATATAAGGAATTTAATCACAGAATATTTGAAATCATACCTGTGGGTCAAAAATATATTTTTAGAAATATGGATGTTGTACACAGGTACATCTTAGTTGACAATTTTGTGACAGCTCTTAGTGAAAATTCAGTATAAATGTCAGCTTTTTACATTAATTATAATGCAATCCTCAACATTTTATAGATGAGGAAACTGAGGCTTTCAAAGAAATGGCCAAAAGTCACGCAGCTAGAAAGCAGTAGAGCTAAAGTCCAAATTTAGGGCTGTTTGTTTAACTATTGTTCCTGTTACTGCACTTATCTTTGTTATATCATACAAATCATTTATCTTTTGATGTTAATTTTATATGGGGCTGGAATAAAAATTTTAAAAATTTCCTCAAAGTGCTATCAATATAAGAAAAAAGAAACCTATGACTTTATGATCAATTGATTCTTTTCATTTTAAAATGCCTTCCTTTCTCTGCACATCTATCTAAAATCTACCTTCCCCTAAGTCCCAGTTTAAGGAATCCTAATGCCTCCAAGAAGTCTTTCCAGTTATTCCAGACTGCACTGATTTTATCATGGATGCATTAATATATATAAACTATGTGGTATACAGTGTTTGATCAAGATATACATAAAACATCCATTATATGCATACAACTATACTGAGCGTAGCATTCAAAGCCATCTATGCACTTAGAAATTCTTTGCACAAACAAATCATTTATAATAACAGATAATACAAAGTGGCATAATAAGTTCAAAACAGGTCATTATTACTTAAGGTTGGGTGCTAAGGAAAAGACCTTATTGAGGAGGTAGGATTTAAATCTTGAAAGAAAGATAAATTAAGAAAGAAGGTATTTTGGGTAGGAGACAATTTGAACAAAGGCATAGAACTAGGACTACACATGAAGTTTTCAAGAAATGCTGCTTAGAAGAGCTTGACCACATGGAAGTTGGATGGGGTAAAATATTCACATAAAGGAAAAATGAGGTAGGAACCATTTTGTGAAGGGTCCTGAATATCAGGTAATAGGAGGTAATTGAAGGTTAAATGCTTTACAAATAGATATTATCTCATTTATTTCTTACGCCATCATACTGAGCTATGTACTACTGGCTAGAATTTCATTATGAGCAAACCAAGCAGGTTGAGCGATAAACACAGGATTCAACCCAGGTCTGTTCTGTGATGAAAGCCTAACTTCTCTTGTCTATAAACTACACAGCAGTCTCTCCTAAGGAGTCTGAACATCTAAATTGGTGGGGGGCGGGGGGGAGGTGGTCAATGAAATTCATCTGAAATCATCCAAATCCTTGTTTAGGGAGATTAATCTGATAGTGGAATACAGAATAAGATTATGCATTTGTCTTTCTTGTAAGCAACTTAAGTATATGAACTAGAATATATTTGACCTGTATATCCTAGAATGTCTAAACATACTGATGGGCACACTATGTTGTCTCTATATATTACTGAGATAAAAAACGGTTTATTACCAGCCTGTTAAAGACTCTGCCTGTATTTCATGCTCTGTGGTAGCTATTCATTGGTAGAGGTTTCAACAAATATTCTGTTTCTCTGTTTCTAATTGAAATTCAACCTAATAAAAGGACAGCTCCCTCTTATCCAATCTTCTTCATACCTAAAAAATTTCCACCACTTACAGAATTATTGGAGAAATTGTAAAAAACTTCCGTGAAGATGTAAACTGTACTCCATAGTCCAGTTGTTCCCAATGAGTTAGGAGCCTTGCTTTACCCTGGTCAGGAGTTTCAAAAGGTGTTCCTTTTACTGCATGCAAAAATACATACATCCCCTGGAAAACAAGCAAGGAGATATATAATCAATATCAAATATAAAATTAGTACTTGTCAGCAAGCATTAAGATAGTTCCAGACTGCTTATGACAGTATGGGTGATTCAACTTAACAACTCAAATTTTAAGCTTTCATATTATTTGTGAAAGGCTGTGGCCAGTTTCTTCATAGTAAAATAAAACTTCCAGAGGCATATGAATATTATTTGGTGAAAACCAGTAACAGATCAACTGAAAGTAACGTGTTTTCATCTCCTATTAAATTGAAAATACACAGAAAAAGAACATCAGGATAGCTTTATATCATTACATTTAGATTTTCTAATACCTTTCCTATCAGGAAACAGGATTATCTTTTATTTTATTTATTTATTTGACAGAGAGATAAAGCCAAAGAGCACAAGCAGGGGAAGTGGTAGAGGGAGGAGAAGCAGGCTCCCCACTGAGCAGGGGGCCCACCGTGGGGCTCGATCCCAGGACCCTGAGATCATGACTTGAGCTAAAGGCAATAGCTTAACCAAATGGGCTACCCAGGCCCCCAGGAAACAGGAGTATCTTATCCCTGATGTGTAGGAATATTTAGTGTCATATTAATAAATCTGATGATACTTACAAAATGATAACATACATTCATAAATAATAATAAAATTTCTGCATCAGGGGAAAATGGCTTTGAAAATATTTATTAAGACTGTCTCTGTCTCAATAGTTCTAACACAACAAAGATGGATAGTAGATCTAATGTTCAGCTTAATTTGCTCTTAAAATCACCACTGTGCCCCAATAGTGTTTCTTTTGAAGTTAGTTTTTAAGAAGATTTATTTATTTAGGGGGGCAGAGAGAGAGGGAGAAAAGCCAGATGTGGGTCAATCTGGGTCAATCCCTGGACCCTGAAACCATGACCTGAGCCAAAATCAAGAGTCAGATGCTTAACTGACTAAACCATCCAGGTGGCCCTGAAGTTACCTTTTTTTGAAAGTAAAAAAACATTACGAAAATCCTTTCTGTCTAGGGATATGTTTGAACATCTAATTTTGTGATTAGGAAAAAAACCAATATATATTAGATTTTGTTTCCTTGAAATTATTATTCTATTTAGATCACTGGTAGTACTTCATTGCAGGATCACTGTCTGAGGCACCGGTAACAGAATATTCTTGCCTAAACATTATCATCAGTCTTTCCTCCTAGAAATCACAATGAGGTGTCATTTTTGCTTCTTCAACTTTTAATAAATATATGGAAAAAAAAGTAGTGATTTGAAATTTTATATTACTAACTAGGTGTAGAGAGCCATTCTTTTCAAAGCCGAGTCTACTTTCTAGTTATTCCATTAAGCAATTCAAAAGTTGTTTAGCCACAATAACACCTAAGCTATATAGCAACAGACTCATGTTCAATTGGATTTAACTCAAAAAGCATTTAGTAAGTGGCTTATATGTACAGGACACAGGACATGTATGCCCATATGAAATTGAGTAAGAAATGTTCATAGCCTTGAAAAAAACTCAATTTTCTAAAAGATGGTAAGAAAAAAAAAAGATATGCATAAGCAACTAGAATGTAGGGCAGAAACTGCTATCAAAGGTACAGAGTCTACAGCCAGTGCAGAAGAGGGAAAGGTTCTTTGTTGCTAAGGCAAGAGCTGTGATGCTATCTTGTCAACTATCTCATTCTTGAAGGTTCAGCTCAAATGACAACTCCTTAGTGAAGCCTCCCTCATTAGTAGTAGCCTATGTGCTTGTATAGAATTTTATTGAAAATACTTTTATTTATAGCACAATATATTTTGTTAGAATTGTTGACATGTTTGTTCTCCCATTAGCCTGAATACCTCAGGAACAAGGGCTGGTACGCAGCAAGTATTAGGTATTAAGCCAAGATGACACTAAGCTAAGGAATGTTTATTCTGTAAGCACAAGGAACCCATTTTCACATGGACTTTACAGGAGGCAATTAAAACAAATTGTATGCTTTTAAATTCTGAGAAGTATAGGACCCAAAAAAATTAAGAATCTCTAACCCATGCATGTATTAGAATCATCAAAAACAAATAAAAATCCCCTCATTATTTCCTTCAAACTACATGCATCACCAGTGTTTAGAATATTCAAACAGAATATCTTATATATCCTTTTCAGTTAAACAGACTCTTACTGACCATATTATCTTCTATCCCATTATTTTTAATAGTTATTCTATAAAACTTAGTGACGGAGGATTTATACCCAAATCAAAAAACTTGGGGAAAAAATATGTAGCTCATGGTTAGCAGTTAATATTTACTGGCTCAAAATGCAGAAAATCCTCATTCATTTTAAAAGCTAAGAATTTTGTGAAATATTAATACTTCTAAAAGTGAACTATAGCCACTGCAAAAATGAATAAAAACAATCACTGTAGGTTTCTACTATATGGTTCAGAAAGGCAAAGACAGTATTTTTTCTAACCACGGATAACAACTAGGTCTATTTTCCCATTTAAAAGCGTTCAGTACGTATTTCACATTTTATTGGTTTAATGTAGTCTGTCTTCAAAAGAAACTTAAATTTGGAGTCATGTTAATTGCTACATCAATGGCTGGTAGTTAGGGTTTTAGTGTGGTGAACTAGTAAGTCAGAAGTTCGCTTCCCTTATGCTTTGCTCACACCCATATACTGTGCTTCAAAATCTCGGTCAACTAACTTGAAAACATCTAGGCAAAGGGAGGGGGTAACTTCTAAAGTACATTTAATACATGTGCCATTGGAGAAGGGAAAATTATATGACAATACAGACTAATTTAGCAAACATTTACATAGGTCTTTAGAGATACGGGAAATAAAGAGACAAATTCCTAATAATAAAACTATGATAAATACACCTAAAAGAATGCAGCATGGGAGTTTTGTAGCTTCCTGGAGAAGGAGATATTGGAGTAGTTTTCCTGGACAAGTAGGAATCAGCCCAGCAAGGGGGGGAGGGTATTAAAATAGTGGAAAAAGAGCCTAAGCCAAAGCAAAAAGGTGAGAACGAGATAATTTTCATTATTGTTAGAGCAATACTCATGTTTGGGGATGGGATGAAATAAGATTGAGCCCTTTTCTTGCCTGTGTACTGTTATCAACTGGTCTCATATGCCACATAAGGAACTTGGTATTTTACTATGAATATAATAAGGAATCACAGAAGGACTTAGAACATGACTTGAGCATATATGAATTTTGAAAATAACTCTCTGCCAAGCTGGAATGGAGGACGGTAGAGGAACATCAAGGACACCATCTGATCTACTGGAGTAATCGACCTGAGGAAAAAATAAGGGCACCAATTATAGCAATGCCAGTGGGGATCAAGCTGAGAGACAGTAAAGCAGTAGAACAGGGCTTTGACTAAATGGGTGTGGAATACAGAGGAAAAGGAGTTAATCTAAGACTGGAGTGACCATATAGACTAGACAGCATGGGAATGGTCCGGATTTACACCTGTTTTCTTGGAGTAGTTATTACTAGAGCTCTCTTTTAGTCTCAGTTTGGATAATTCATTACATGAATCACTTCACCTTTGACATTCAGGTATCTGGCTTGCCTCACTGGGCAGACAGTGGTGCTTTTAGATTAGATCAGAAACAAAGCCAGAGGAACAGGTTGTGAGTGGTAAGGGACAGATCAGGAATGAGTTTAATTTATAACTGTTTGGCTTAAGGTACAAGGTGATCTGCCAATTTTAATATGAGCATCATCATTCTACAGGTAGAAACTGAAAATACAGATAGATGAAGTAATCTTGATAGAATACACAGAATAAAAAGAGATGAAGAAAAGAACCTTGGGGACAGCAATATTTAGGAGAGGAAAACAGAAGGAAGAATGTGCAAGAAAGAGAAAAGGAAAAATTAGAAATATATCTAGGAAAAAGTGATCTCTTGGAAGCCAAAGAAAAGGAATTCTGGTAAGAGGGATATAACTCTTGTCAAATATTTCAGAGAAGTCACTACTTAAAAACAGCCCTACCAAGGTCCATCGCATAAAATGGACTAGGTGGACATTCATTTATTTTTACCACCACATCATCCTTGTCCTCCTCCAATCAAATTCAAATACTCTTCAAAAAATAGGAAATAAATAACATTAATTAAAAAAAATCTATTTCTCCTACATTTTCCTGCCTTAATGTTCCAAGTTCTTCATTTTCTGGATATGTTTAAACAAATATATAATTAATCTGGATTCCATTAAAAGTCTCAACTAATGGATTTCTCCCCTTCCATTCTGCTTTCACAGACTGTTAAAGACAAGAAAGGTCACTATTAGTTTTTTTTTTTTTTTTTAATTTTTCCAGGGTTGCATAATATAGTCAGTAGAATCAACTGAACCTCTGTGGGATACTTTGCAGAACTATCCTATAATACAGAAGAACCACAGTCAACATGAAAAAGCTAAGGCACCATAAGATCCTCAATCACGTAAGATATGATGAAGCTCAACATTTCTATACTGAAGGAGAGTATATGTATACAATTTAGAAAGGATTGAAGTTTAACAAGGATTGAAATCAAAGATGGTTATTAATCTCCAGTTAATCAAAAACCATAATTACTTCTGAAGCATTCTGGTTAATCAGTACATTAGTAGCTTGAATTACAGTGTCTTGTAATTTTTGCTAAAATGACCTACTATTTTCTAGATTCCATAAAACCATAAAGAGGAAAAAAAAGGTCTTACTTAGAAAAAGAGCTCAATGTTTAAATATAAAGTATTAATAGAAAAAATATCATCTTATCCCAGATTAGAATTCTTCAAAATTGTCACATATATTAAAAATCACTAAACTGTACACTTTTAAGTCAGTGAATTTTATATATTATATGATTATGAATTATATCTCAATAAAACTATTAAGCTATGTCATGTTTTTCTTCTTTATAGCATAAAGCTTTAAGCTTTTTAAAAAAATTGTTTAAATACACATAACGTAAAATGTACCATTTTAACCACTTTTAAGTGTACAATTCAGTGGTATTAAGTACATTCACATGTGGATGAACACTTGGGTTCATTAAGTACATTCACATTGTTATGCAACCATCACCACCAACCATCTCTAGAACTCTTTTCATCTTACAAAACTGAAACTGTACTCATTAAACAGCAACTCCCTATTTCTTTCTCCCTCAGTCCCTGACAAGCACTAAACCTTAGGCTTATAAGTGCTTAGTATAAAGTAAAATTCTTACCAGATTATGTATAACATTTGTTAAGGTCCAAGCAACAGGAACACTGAAGAAAGGAATGCTGAGTAGGACAATATGAAGCAAGCCAACTCCTAATGCATATGTCAGCCACATACCCCGGCTGTTCATTACACGGGTATTTGGATTCACCTCACTGTGGGCAACTCCAACATTCATGTTTGCTCTGTAGGAAAGCAATGAAATGAATCAACAATGATATAACTGGAAACCTAAACACTCTTTATTCCGACATGACAAAATAAGTGTTACTAGGATCATTTTTCTCTAGTTGTTCTGAAATAGAACAAACACATCCACCAAAATATGCTATTTGCAGATGCCAATGAAGGCAGTAAATAATTCTTAACATCTGACTTCATGGTAAGACAAACAAGATTTATTTTTATGGCTCTTATTGAAAAAATAAATTAAAATCCCTTTCCTAAAGCTTTTCTTCCAGCATGTTGGTTTTACTAAATGAAATAATGGACAGGAAAATTCAAACTGAAAGAGAAAACCTACACTTTCTTATACATGAAACCAAAGTGAAAGCTCAGGAGCTAAATGTACAGAATAAAACTAATATAAAAAAAGCAAAGCTGCAGCATTATTTACAATAGCCAAGATACAGAAGCAACCCAAGTGTTCACCCACATGTGAATGAATAAAGATGTGTGTGTGTGTATGCATACGTATGTATACTAGAGTATTACTTAGCCATAAAAAAGAATGCAATCTTGTCATTTGCAACAACATGGATGGACCTAGAGAATATAATGCTAAGTGAAGTAAGTCAGAGAAAGACAAATACCATATGATTTCACTTACATATGGAATTTAAGAATCAAAACAAAAAAAAGACCAAAAAACACTCTTAAATACAGAGAACAAACTGGTGGTTGTTGCCAGAGGGGAGGTTGGTGGGGGGGGGGGAATGGGTGAAATAAATAATGGGGATTAAGAGTACACTTATCCTGATGAGCACTGAGAAATGTACAGAATTGTTAAATCATTATATTATACACCTGATACTAATATGTTTGTTAATTATACTTGAATTAAAGACAAAAAAAGGCAACGTGGATCCACCCAGTCTATTCTGAGTAGCCAGATTCTTATACCTAATGTAATGTAATGTTTCCAAAGAGTGGTCAGGTTCACTTCTTTTTAAATATTGAACCTGGGAGGAACATAATGTGGCAAAAAATTTACATGGTCCAGGGATAAGGTTTGTTTCTCAATCTCATGATACAATAAGGTTAAAACAATGAGTCTTTCTAACTCTTCAACTCCCCTAAAATTCTCGGTTTTTTCTTTTTCTGAGTTTTTTTCCCTTTATTGCATTCAAAATGAACACCAAAGGAAGAACGGATATTAGTTCCCAGTTATTTTAAGGCTGACGTTTCCTTGGTTCTAAGAATCCCTCGAACAAAATACAGCTGTCCTGAAGAATAACTATCATCTCCAGTAAAAACCAACCAGTGAGACGGAAAGGGGGTGGCATGGTTAGAGTATATTTGGAACAGGTCTGATTTATTAGTACATGAACCCTATTATAGAGTTGGCATTAAAAGAGGAATTTCTCATAAACCCATCCAACAAGTGTTTCCGGAGTAAAATGTCGCATTCTCTCTCCAAAAATCTATGGAACACGCATCAAGGCTTACGATGATGAAAGCTGGTTACACTAACAAGACACAAATGTCTCAAGTTAACGTGTGTAAATATTTCTTCTAATCTAAATATCTATTTTACATCATACATTCTTTTCATAAGCTATATGTTATACTTAGAAGATGCCAAAACTCAAGATACTTTTCCCATTTCCCACAGGATGGAAAGAAAAAAATAAAGCTCGAAAGAGGCTTAACATTTCTATTTGAGCTGGAAGGCAAAGCTGGTGTGGTACTGACCCTACCCCAGTTCAGAAAACCTTCCCAAGGAGTCTGCCGCGCCACTTCAGGACTGGCAAACAATGACTTCCGACTGTGAAGAGCCTCCCGGCTCTGCCTAGGCGAGTGTCTCGAGGACGGCGACCGGTCCTCTTGGGGACTTCCTCGTGAGCCAGAAAATCACTGGCAGCCCCTACCGCCGCAGCACCTCCCCCACTCGCCCCTTCCCTCTCGGAGCTGCACATCCCACCAGTACCAGGGCAAGATGACGAGGACTTGGGGGCAAGCCTCGGGGGCCACTTGGTCCGCACCGGCAGAGCGGGAGCCGCGGACGCAGCCGTAGTTCACTTTTTCCGCTCAAGCCTACCCTGGCTCGCCAACAGCGCCTTACCGCCGCAGACAGCAGCACAGCCCCTACCGACGTTCATGCCCACTCACCCGCCGCCCCACTCCCGGCGGCCAGCTCGGAACACAACCAGCTCCGCGGCGACGGCGTCTCTTCAAGGCCGAATGCCTAACATCAGCCGCAGAACAGCGCAGCTTGCGGAAGCGTTCAGAGCCGAACGCGCCGCCAGGGGATTGGCTGCGGGCAGCGCCAATCCCACGTTCCCCGGGCAGGGCGGGACTAAGTGCTGCGCGCCTACTGCCCGCCCAGTCGCGCGCTGGAGGAGAGTCCGGGAGCCCCGAGGATGGGCCTGTGAGTTCGGCGGGACGCTGGCCGGTCCGCTCGTGGATGGTAATTGCCCTCCTGCCGCGAGCGCGATGGTAGTGTTGTGTGTCTAACGGGCATTCATTCTTATCTTCTCGTAGGCTCGAAAGCCCCTTACCTTCACCTGGTCCCGTTTGGCGTGAGAGCGCCACTGGTAGCCTTGTGCCTCCCGCCCGCTCCCTCCCGCCCCCTCGCAAAGGAGGGGCGGGAAGCGGACGGAGCCGGGCTCGTGGGCGCGCACGCGTGGAGAGCGGTCTTTAAGCAGGGCTCGGTCGGTTTCTCTCTGGTTTGGCCGTGCCTCACTAAATCGTGCTTGGGCCTTTGTTGCAGCCCATTTCCCAGAACCTTCTGAGTGCAGCATTTTAAAGTTGTTTGCCAGGCAGACATTTTAACTCCGGGCAGCCATAACTCGTGAATGTAGTATATGGTATGTTGTGGCGACATACAAGTGATGCGAGCCGACTCCCACTTAACCATGATTTTTACTGGTGTCATTTTGGGTTTAGCCACACGTTGAAGACAGGCACTTGTATGACATGCTGAGGAAATGTGAATTCCAAAAATTGATCTTATTTGAGAATGGAGAGAAAAGGTCAGATTATTTGGAATTATCTTTGAAATCGAATTTCATTACCTTGGCAGTTCGCAAAGTTTATGATTTGTATTGCTGAAGTAGCTTGCAATAATATTTTGAAAATTGGTGTGGGATAAGTTTGACTATATGTATCTTGCATTTCTGTTGGCTCTCTGAAAACAATTGGGTTACGTTTATTGTTTTTAAAGTAAATTATTTCATTGTGTTTTCCTATAGCAATGCTTCTCTGCTTTTTTAGGTACCTTGTCCTTAACTGACTTTCCTGGGCGGTACTTTTTCAGGAGTGTTTGCTTTCCCTCCCAGCAAATATGGAGGAAGACTGATTCCTGATATTCTCACACATTCTGTGCCGTGATGTAAGCCTGATAACTCTTTCACTTTTCAAAAGGTGTCATTTGGCACATATGGCAGAATGCTTGCTATGTTCTACAGGTTATGCTAGCGCTATGAGATTAATATAAAATCTCTGTCCTCAGAGAACTCTGAGCCAGGAGGAAGAGACAGAAAAACAATAGTTAGAAGAGCCTATGATGAATTTTGGATTGGAAAAAAGGAAACCGTGCTGTGGGGATACACCTGAGTGAATGCCTAACCTGTTGGGGTGGGGACGGGTCAAAGTTGGAGCAGTTAAGAAAGGCTTCCTTGAAGAGGTGATACTGTACTAAATCTGGAAGGATGGTTAGAAGTCTTTGGTAGAGAAAGAACCTTGTGAAGTAAGGAACGAGTGAGTGCCACCACATTAAAAGTGTAGGATGATAAGTTTACTGTGTATTTGGGTAATAGTGGGATGAGATCAGAAAGGTAGAGGTCCAGTTGTTAAGGATTTTGGACTTCACCTGATGAGCAGTTAGAACTCTCTCAAATCTTAAGTAGGATAGCAACATGATGAGATTTAAATATAGAAAGAACCCTATCATTGGTTGAGATTTGAGGCAAAATATCAATTAGGTGGTTATTGTAGTACTTCAGGGCAGAAATGTTCAGGGGTCACATTTATCTAGTGGCTACCATATTGGACAGTGCAGCTCTGTATCCTTAGACCAGTGTGCAGTCTGAACCTTGGCATGCAGAGCGTGCCTTTTGCTTGTGACAGTACTAATTTGTGTGAATGGTAGAACTGTGCAGCAGCCTAACTGTCCACATTTTTTCCTGACTGGAAAAGCCTCCCAGCCCTTGAGAGCCACAAAAACTATTGAGAGGTAGTTGTTTACAGCTACTCTTCCTAAAACTGTACCCCAAAACTAAATCAAATATATAGCTTAATTAGAAGTTAATTGCTGGGGTGCCTGGGTGGCTCATTCGTTGGCGTCTGCCTTCAGCTCGGGTCATGGTCCCAGGGTCCTGGGATCAAGCCCTACATCAGGCTCCCTGCTCGGTGGGAAGCCAGCTTCTCCCTCTCCCACTCCCCCTGCTTGTGTTCCTGCTCTCCCTGTCTCTCTTCTGTCAAATAAATGAATAAATTATTTAAAAAAAATAGAAGTTAATTGCTGGTATTAAAAATTGCCAGCATTTCTTTCCATAATGATCTCGCATCACAATACTGAATGTTTTATATAGCCTTATCATTTATAGAACATCTTATTTTTTAATTATTTTTTAATCTTTTTTTCCTTAAGATTCTATTTATTTATTTGACAGAGAGAGCACAAGCACAGGGAGCGGTAAGGAGGAGGAGGAGCAGGCTCCCCACTGAGCAGAGAGCCCTATGCGGGGCTTGATCCCAGGACCCTGGGATCATGACCTGAGCCAAAGGCAGATGCTTAACCGACTGAGCTACCTAGGCGCCCCTACAGAACATTTTATATGTGCTTGCTTATTTGAGCCTCACAACAAACCTAGGAAGCACTCTCTCCAATTATAGAGGTGATGAATTGATTTTATATAGGGATTTAAGTGATTTGCTTCAGTTTACACGTATTAAAGGTGAACCTCTAAACCTGTTTTTAGACTCCAGTCTGGTATGTTTTTCTACTGTGCTGATCAGGTTTGCCATTTACAAAGCAAAACATAGTTATATTTATTAATTGTCACCAGTTAATATCACTCTGAACTCAGTGTTTTGACCTCTTCCCAGAAATTCATCTCTTAAATTCCTCTGTAATTGTTATAGTGGCTATACTCCCATTTCTTACCTATTTTTTTATATGACTTTGCTGTTTTATGTCTTAATATGCCTTAGAAAGAATCCTAAATAGATATCTTTTTATTTTGTTTGTCTTTGGCATTGCTGTTTTGTTTTGATTTACATTCCATAGGATCAAATCATGTGAGCATGTGAGTTATGGTAAATTAAAGAAGTACCTAGGGTTCCTCTCCTCTCCATTTTTTTGTCTTGAATCTATAGAGGAATTTCATGTCAACCTAGTGTTTTTATTTTCCTGAAATCTTTTCTGAAATTAAGCATTAAGGCAAAAGTAAACACTGCTCCATCCATGTTTTACATGTGGGATTTCCATATGAGATTTTTTGTTTGTTTCTTTGTTTGAAAGGGTCTTAGACAAAGGATTTTTTTTTTCACTAAAACAATTAGTGGCAGAGAGATTTTGGATTTAAGGTTGGATTGCATGTAAAAGACTTTGAATGCCAGCACAGAGATTTGAGCTTTATCTTGGGGAGCCACATGATTAGAATGATGTTTTAGGCACAGTAGTATAGAAGATAGAGCTGTCTGATGTGCCTGATGTCTGACTAGTTTGGATTAACAGTAATGCTAGGGTCTAGGTACCCTAACTCCAGTAAAGTAATAATTCAAAAAGACATTGTAATTCACCAAAACATATAGATGACTAATGATTTTTGAGATTGCCATTAAGACTCATGACTCACTGACATTATCCACATTCCACATCCCAGGGGGAACAGCACCACCTGGTCATTCCTACCTACCCTGGTAGATCATATATTACACTCATTATAGCACAATTTTTCTTATTGCTCTTTAATTATTACCATAGTATGGATTTACCAGCTAACTTCTCTGTGCCTCAGTCTTATAAAATGGGAAGTGATAATGCCACTTATTTTAAAAAATATTGGAATAAATGATTGAATACTGTGTGTGCTTACAGTAGAGCCTGACATAGTGGGAAGTTGAGTAAATGTGAGCTGCGATTAATTATTGTTGCTATCAGATCTGTTAGTTAGGAATATTTAACAATTTTTATTTTTACAACTTACATTTTATCTTTAGCTACTCTACTAAAAGCTAGAATGAAACAGTTGCCTGCAGCAACAGTGCGCCTCCTTTCAAGTTCTCAAATAATCACTTCAGTGGTCAGTGTGGTTAAAGAGCTCATTGAAAACTCCTTGGATGCAGGTGCCACAAGCATAGATGTTAAACTGGTGAGTGTCCCTGAGAAGCCAAATACCTTTAAAGAAAAAAGGGGCTGGGCAGATGATTTCTCCTTACATCTATTACCTTTCTCTTCTTTCTTTGTACTAATAAATTATTTCTAGGACATTGCATTTTCTGTCTTAAGAATAAAATCTTAAAAATAAATTTTAATTTAAATCAATACTATAGTAACACTAAAGGAAATTCTAAAAGAAAACTTATTCTTTAGGACTCCATCACCTAAAACATGGATCTGATTTGTCCGTATTTTCTACTAATTATTTTTGGTTATTCATATTTATTTGTTTTTACTCATTTGCATTTTATCTTTTCCACCTAATCTGATTTCAAAACTAAATCCCTTGTTGTGTCATAATTTTCACATTAAAAAGTCTTAAATGCTGTATATTAAATCATTTGAGTTAATATGACTTATGACACTTCTTATGGTTTGTTACAATTAGTTGGCATGTCTACCTCCCTTATTATAAACTACCAGCTTGTAGAGGTAAGGTCTATATTTTTTCATTTTTGTGTCCTCCGTACGTGGCCAGTGCCTGGTACATAAATGGTGAATAAATTGTTTGAGTGAATATAAGAGTACATTTTTTTGTAATCTTCTAATTATCAGATATTTACATTCAGTATTAATGTTAGAAATAATACCGATAAAAAAAAAAGAAAAAGAAATAATACCGATAAAAATCTTTGTAGGAGGGCAGGTGGCTCAGTCGTTAAGTGTTTGCCTTCAGCTCAGGTCATCATCCCAGGGTCCTGGGATTGAGCCCCTCATCGGGCTCCCTGCTCTACGGGAAGCCTGCTTCTCCCTCTCCCGCTCCCCCACTGCTTGTGTTCCCTCTCTCGCTGTATCTCTTTCTGTCAAATAAATAAAACCTTAAAAAAAA